TTCAGGCTACTGTGTATATCCTCCCAGCCCAATGATGATCTTTCTCGACCGTGATGCCACGCCCCGAACATTAACTCGCAAAGCCATCGTACATTCGTACGTACATATTTTCCTCTCCATACAATGCCGCCAGATTTCCAGATGTCCCGATCCAGATTCAGATACATCCAAGGGCAGTTCGCTCCTTGCGTTAAATTTTCCATATCCATTCACATACCCCATACCATGGTGCTGGCCCAAAAAATCCAAATTCGGCTTCTTTCGCTCCCTTTGGTGTGCGAACGTGCCCTTGCTGTTGTTGGTATAGTAGAGGCTGTCCTTCGTCGTCACTGGCCACCAGCGTTGGACGCAACAACCGCGTCCACGGGGTCGTAGTACTCGTAGACTTTGTTTTCCTTGTCCCGGCCCGTCACGGCAGGGGCCATGAAGCGCGACACGCCCGTGGTGCGGTCGTACGAGAGGTGCGAGCACGCCAGACGCTTGCCACCGCCGCCGGGCAGGTCAACGACGAACTGGGGCATCACGAAGCCCGCAATGGAACCGCGGATCTGAGCCTCGAGATCCAGGATGGTCTGGAGCGGCGTGCGGAGGTGCTCGACCTTCTCGACCATGTCACACTGGTAGACATAGTAGGGGAAAATGTTGCTGTCGGCGAGGTTGCGGATCAGCGCCGACATGGTGGCCGTGTCGTCGTTGACGCCGCGCATAAGAACGGTCTGGTTGCGGACCATAATGCCGGATTCAAAGAGGCGGCGGGCCGCCAGCTCGGACACCCAGGAGATCTCGTGAGGGTGGTTGAAGTGGGTGTGCAGCGCCATGGCCTTGCCGGCCTTGCGGGCCTCGTCGGCCACGAACTTGAGAGCCTGGAACCAAGAGTCTTGGTCGTCCAGGATGCGCGCTGGGGCGACGGCCAAGCCCTTGGACGCGAAGCGGAAGCGCTTGATGTTGGGCATGGCAATCAGGCGCTGGCCAATGTAGGCCAGCTGCTCAGGCTGCAGATAGTAGGCATCGCCGCCGGAGACGACAATGTCTTGAAGCTGAGGGGTGCGCTCAACATAAGCAAGAGCCTCTTCCCAGCGCGTCTTGGTGGGCTTCATGGACGCCTTCTTCACCGAGTCCGTGTCGGCACCCACGGCATAGGAGCGCGTGCAGAACATGCAGTAAGTCGGGCAGACCGACGTGGCTGTTGGTCAGCGTCGTGCACAAGGGTGAGGACATGTAAGTGAATAAGGGACATCTTACGAAGGAACAGAGCCTTGTCGTTGTAACGATGAACGAGGCCGCTCACGGGCGAGTCGGCATGCTCGTGCAGCGAGTCCAGAGCCAGCTTGGGGTGGTCAGGCAGCATGCGGGATTTGACGGGAATGAACTGACGGAACACGGGGTCATTGCGCGGATCGGCCCAGTTGATGCGGCTGAGAATATAAGGCGTCATGCGCGTCGACATGGTCGCCGTCTTGATGCCGTCGACGACGTCCGTGACCAGCGCCTCGCGGGTCTGAACGAGCTTGCCAGAGCCGCCATTGGCCACGTCGGTCATGGGGATCTCGTCGGGGAGCACCTGCTCGAGGAAGCGAGCGAGCTTGAGCTCACCCTGGACCGTGTTCTTGATCTGTGGGAGTCGTAGGGAAGTCAGTGTGTGTGCAGAACAAGGAGGTACAGCAACAGAAAACAAAACAGGGAGGGTACACGGACTCCCCACTTGTACGAGAGGAACTCGTCCGTGGACACGTCCTTCCAGACGGGAATCTTGCGCCAGAACTGGTCCCGAGAGGGCGTGGCATTGGCATCGACGGGACCCATGCCGGCCTCCTGAACAATGGGCGTGTCCTTGTCCTCGTCCTGGGTCTGCTGAGCAGCCGCAGCGGGTGCCATGGGTGCCATGCGAGGAGGCAGTGTGGCAACAGTACGTGCGATCGTGATGCTCTTCACGGGTGCGGCCATGCGTCCAGAAAACAGCCGGGAGCTGTTCAAATTGACGGTGAGCATGGTGAACGATGAAAGAGAGATACGAAAGAGAAAGGATATATAACGATGATGCGTAATGACGCTGGGTAACGATGTTGAGTAGATGTAGAGATGTAGAGAGAACGTGCTGATGGGAGGGGAGGCAAAGCAGAGAAAACAAGAAAAAAGATTAAGAAGAAGGAATATAGACAGAGAGAACAGTTTGGAAGACAAAAAAGGAAGAGGGCAAGAAATAGAAAACAGGGAAGAATAGGCAAGAAGCAACAGAAATCAGAAGAGGAAGGAGAGGGTAGAGAGGGAGGGACGGACAGGGCAGGAGCTACCGTCACATATGGCTTTGCAATGTTTTGGTTGCTGGAGCATCTGGACGGCGACATTTATTCTGTGCATCGCTCCTTCCTGTTCTTGATCGCTTCGGGTGTAAACAGTCTACCTTCCTCGACGGACCTGCAAACGTGCACCAAAGCCTCCACCAAACTGCTGCCTGAGAGAAGGAAAGAAAAGTGAGACAAAAGCGACAAGGAGGTGAGAGTAGACCAGAGATGCACGGTCAGAGAGAGACGTGCTATGTCGAGGTCGAAGTCGAGGGCGAGGACAAGGGAGTGTGCGGGCATCAACAAAGTCTCGCCTAGCACTCTACGATGACGGACAGCTTCAACTACAGAGCCGCCGCTGCAAAGGACAGCCGTTCAGGTCTAGTTGTCGATCCTCGACGTTCCCGGCTTCTTTTTTGTGCCTTTTTTCTACTCGCCTACATGGCAGACTGCATCCTCGGGCATGGGGACTGGGGACGTGGGAGCATGGGGGGACGTCACAGAAAGGTGACATGCTGAGGATGTGGTGTACTGTCTGCAACGTTTGCACGTCACTCTCGCCGCCCATGCATGTTTGTATGTTTCTCTTGCCCCTCTGCTCTCGCAGGTAGTCTGAACAGGGTGAGAACATGCCGCGATATTTGATCTTGCATAGCTTCATGGACTTTATGGACTGTATGGACTGCGTGGCTTCGTACGTACATTTGTGCATGTTGTCGTGCTTGGCCGGAGCTGAATGTCCAATCGCGGTGGATGGTGAATCGTCGGTTGTTGGTCGTCGTTGGTCGCTTGCCATTGGTCGGTACTCCTCATTTCCATAGCTGCTTTTTTTGTTCAATATTGGCTACAATTCACTGCAAGACACTTTTCTTTTTACCTCTTTAGTTTTCATTCACTTGCCATTGTGCAGCATTATATGCCCCTCTCCCAATACTCTTTGTTTCTCGGCTGCAGTCTGTATACGAAATGCAGGTTTCTGGGCGAGGCAACATGAGGGGGGCATATGAATGCCAAAGGTACACGGGCGTTCGTGACGCTCCTGGCAGAGACTACGTCGTGCATAGAATGGCAGAAAACGGAAACCATAGTATAGAGCCACTGCCGCTCCGTCATTTGCAAACGGGGCTTTGCCATTTGGTCTAGATGCAGTCGGGGGCAATCCCGTGATGAACACCATGATGCGGCCAAATGTACGCAGAAATCCCGAGTGCAACCTCCAATCGTACGAGTATCCGAGAGAAGAAAAAAACGCAAGACGTTGGGTTCGCAAAATCCAGGAAGACGTTTTGCGTGGCCTGCAAGTTGCGTTGCGTGACGTCCCCAGTCCTGCGGGTTTTCTCTGTTGGTGCGCGCACAACATCTCCACTTCTGCTGGGCAGTATTGGACATGTTTGCCTACGTTGTGCGACGTGAAAGGTGAACAACAGGAGGCAAAAAGAATAAAATTAATAAAAAAAGAAACAGACAAAAGTTTTAAAAGGCCAAGCAAGTCAACAGCTCGGGGGCTCAGTCCGGGGAACAACGGAACGACGAGCAACGTGTCAAAAGGACCGGGGTGCGGTCACAGTGTGAATCATTGACCTGCCACGTCGAACCAACAGACGGTGGTTGGGTGGGATGCAGATGCAGATGCAGATGCAATTGCAATTGCAATTGCACCTACAAATGATGGCAGAAGCAAAAATCGACGGAAGGGGATTGGAACGCAAGCTTGCATGGTGAAATGTTCACACGTTGGCGCCTATATTGGCCCCAACGAATAGTTGAACCGGTCAACGGAGACGTTGTGTGACGACTGACTGTCGACATATCTATTTACTTCGCCTCGATTCACACTCTTTGGGGGTTCAGAGATGGTCGAGAACGCTCAGCAGAGGGTAAACTTGACAAAGAGAATTTGGGCCTCAGACAAAACAATGTACGCAGACGGAAGTATGTCTGTCAAACCACTGCCAACGCAAGCTATCACCCGAATACACCCCTGTCTCTCTTCCTATTTTTCTCGCATCTAGCCCATGTCTCTCTCGGACAGGAAACCCCGGCCAACAGAAGCCAAGCACGGTCCACGACGTCCGGGCCAAAACGGGAAACGAATAGGAGGAAACGTGCCGAGACGAATGCAGAGAGGGAGACGAGAGAGACTGTAGACACAGATATCATTGGTCGTGATCTTCGTCGTGCAGATGCCGTTGGTCCTCGACATACGCAAACGCAGGAGGAAGGAGGGAAGAGGCAGTATACTCGGCAGAAAAGGGAAGCAGCGAGGAGGAGCAGTTTCGGGGCCGGACGCGGCGATGGTGGGCTTGGTTACACAAGGAAAGAAGCAGCAGTGCAAAGGGAAGGTGCGATGGGGAACAGAAGTGGGCTGCTCGAGGCATTGATAGTGTGCGTATGTTGACTTCCTAAACGGGCGTCTCGAGGTAGGAGACAAAAAAGAAGAGGCAAAAAAGGCCAGAAAATAGGAAACGTACTCAGCGGTATTTTGACACGACTCGACCAGGACTTGGACAAAACACAGCGAGTGTTGACTCTTCTTTTGTCTCTGCCCACGTATCTACAAGGACTCACTTTATACTATCTGATTGCTTTCCGAGGTCAACGCCAATCTGCCCATCACCACACGGCATCTCTTCTCCTAGCATCGCGCTGGGAATTCTTTTTCTTTTCTCTCCTCGAGCTCCAGAGAGGGTCCCCCAACTACACGGGACCATGACCGCCATGGTGGTCTCTTCGTCGTCTACGGGCGAGGATGGCCTGACCATCATCAGGTAGGTTTCGTTTGTTTTTCTCCGTTTTATGCGCTCCTAGCAGGCTTGCTGTTCCACTACCACGGGCGGGAATAATACCAATGGATAAGACTACTAGAGCACAGATGGATAGGAGGAGAGGAGGGTGTGAGGCCTGGATAAATGATGGTGCATTCCATAATAGACACACGAAGGCGCTGCTTTGGTGCTGCGCGGATGCGTCCAAATGAAACAGCTGCATCTTGCTTTCTTTTTTCGCCCACTGTTCTCACCATCCACTGACAACCTTTTTCTAGGCCTCAAGGCGCCTCTGAGCACACAACCACCGACACGGACCAGACAGTTGCCGTCACCGATCCTCACCTGCCATGCCCTCTCGGCAACCCGGCACTCCATCCACTACATGGCAAGCTGAATGACCATGATTCAGCTCAGGGGGTTCGTCCCCTGCAAATGGCAGCTTCTGCTTCTGTCCCCTCTACAAGCTACTCAGCTTGGTCTGCTTGGATGGCTGTGGTCGGATGTGTCTGTTTGACCATGCCCACGTATGGCCTCATGTCGGCCTTTGGCCTTTTCCAGGTCTACTGGGAAACCCATCAGCTGGCAGACTACAACGGTGGAAACAGCGATGCTGCCATTGCCTGGATCAGCTCGCTGCTGGGCTTTCTCAACTGCTTTTTCGGCCTGTTCAGCGGCATCCTCCTGGACCGGGTGTCCTCGTCGTCGTCTTCCACCAGAGGCTTGCTGTTTTTGCTCGCCCCGCATTGTGTTGTGTACTGGGCTTCCTTCTTGGCTCTCGCGTGGTGCTCGACCTATGGCCAGTTCATGGCGTGCATGGTGGTCGCCGGAATTGCCTCCGCCCTGCCGTCGGTCGCCGCGTTTACGGTCGTCGACCACATTTTCGAAACGTCCCCCACCCTCAAGCACAGCGCAGCCGCAACAGGGGTCGTCTCGACAGGTGCTCCGCTCGGCGGCCTTCTTTTCTCGCTCATGCTGCGGGCGCTGCTGGCCCGGACGGCGCCCAGCGCTTGGCAAGTGTCCATGTTCTGTCTATCGTCCGTCATCGGTGTCATGGAGCTCATTGCATGCGTCCTGGTCGTGTGGGGAAGCCGACGGCCTTCGTCTTCGTCACCACACCAGTCAGCGACCGAGAAAGACGCAAATGGACCTGATGGACTCAAAAAGCAGGTGCTCAGACACAAAAGCCCTCTCCAAACACCGCCGATGGAGATCAAGATGACTGTGACAGAAACGACGACCATTGAACAGGCAGACCGCCTTGAACGGTCTGGCCTGCCTCTCCGACGCAGTTGCGTCACGGTCCACCCGCCCGATATGCAAACTCAGACACAGACACAGACACAGACACAGTCACAGTCACCTGTGCATACGACTCCCTGGTATGCCAATGCAGCTCTCTGGGACGCAGACAACGGCTCCTTGAGCCATTTTACCGACCGAGGCTTTTGGCTCTTTACCATATGTGTTTTTGGTTGGTAGTTTACCGCTCCCCTCGCACATGCAGATGCAGACGCTGTGCGTCTATGTGCATGAAAACTGCAGAGATGCAGAGACTTGTGTCACGACGGACAATAGTCACTACTCTCTCTTCGGCTCTCCATCTCTACCGTTCTCTCTTTGCCCACTAGCTAACATTCACGCCTCGCTTGGCCCAGTATACGAATTCGTCCTCTTCACGCAGTGGGGCTCCTTGCCTTACTTTGCCGCAAGAACAGGCCTGGGAGACGTCTTCTACTTCCAAATGGTCTACAACATGTCAGTCACAGATGCACTTTGTCTGGTGCTTTATACATTGCCTCACTAACGTAACCAGCGGCGCCCTCCCCGGCCGCACCATTCCCTCCTGGCTGGCCACCCGATTTGGCCCATTCAACATGACGCTTGCCATGACAGCCCTCACAATCCTCACCATCTTTGTGGTTTGGGTTCCCTTTGGTGACCACAGCACAGCCGCCCTGTATCTGGTGGCGTTTTTCATGGGCGTAGGAACCGGTTCATTTGTGCCCTTGGCTGGTGAGTTCTCAGCGGAGGCGGCCTTCATGCCATTGTTGGCCGCCTTCTCGTATTTATTTTCTTTTTCTTTTTCCTTTTCCTTTTGTCTTTGCCTCTGCTCAACTTCTCCAATTGTCCCATTGCAATTTGAGACACACAGCTGACCTTTTTTCTTTTTCTTTCCCCTTCGTGTCCCGTTGTAGCCACATGCATAAGCCGCCTTTGCCATGGCCGCGGCTTTGGAAAGTGGCTAGGTTCTTGTTATGCCATTGTCAGCATTGCAACCCTCATCGGCAACCCGGTCAGTCAGGCTCTTATCGAAAAGACCAGTGCACGATGCAGTGTCATCTTCCAGGGCGTCCTGCTGGTTGTGTCGTTTGTCCTCTGTCTGCTCGTCCGCCGGGGCGACATCCAAAGACTACGGGCGAGACGATCTCGTCCGTGAAGGAAACGTCTCTCGAGTCGACGATGATGCGATGGCAACGAAACCATCATCGTGCTGGTCTTGGGCCTACGGACATAACGCTCTTGTCCTCACCTGGACCGTCAAGGGTTTTTGGAAACTGTGACCGCGCAGACATAGGTGGCAGCCATGATCCTGGGATCCTGGGCCATGCTCGTCCAGCTGCTGCATACAAACGGAGCCGACGTGCATGCGGTTGCAGGGTTTAAGTCGGAGCTCGCCTCTCGTTACGAACGAGGTGTTGTTGAAAGCGTTCAGTGCAGTGGTCTTAATGAGCCTATTTCGAGATTCGTCTCTCTCTCTCTCTTCTCTTGGAGTCTGCCAATTTCTTCCCCGTGCATCTTTAATATTATATAAACCGAGATGTTCACATTGTATTCCGTTTCATAACGACAGAACATTACGACAAAAAAGAATTTGAGATACTATCAGCACTGAGAAAAAAAACGTCCATACACCGAGTCCTGTTTTCCCAGACGAAGGTCCTCGATTGAGACAGACCGTACGGTGTACTTGGCAAATGCAGCCCGACCTGCATGTCTTACATCCTTGCCGCCCAAGGCCCGTCCCATTGGGTACACCCAAACTATATATGTAAGTGCTTTTGCGAGGTAATCAATCTTAGACGGCTGAATGCATGGACGCCCGAGTCGGATGGGCAAAGTGTGATGAAAATAAAATGTACCCATTTTTGGCAAAAGACCAACACCTTTTATTAATTTTTTTTCTTTTTTTTTCTTTTTATATTATATATATATATTTCTCTTGTTAACACTTTTTAAGCCTTTTTTTGTAACTAAAAAAAAAAAAAAAATAACATACCAAAAATCGAACGTAATACAAAAGTGCAATTACTGCATAATTGTTTCGCACTCTAGGATTGCAGCTTTCCTCTTTATGCGTTGGCAGGAAATGAGGACGTACCAGTCAGCCTCGATAGTGAACAGGCAGGTGGTGTCGTTGTTGCCTATTTTGGACATTCGAGGGCGCTAACACACGGCGGACGTCCAGTTGTGAAATCGTGTTAATTAATTCTGGAAGTGGGGCATCTCCATGTCGACGTTTGTGTGCGTCCTTTACCACGACTGTCTTGCTTGTGTGACACCGGACACTGGTCTTGCTCTACGCAGAGGCATCGCCTCCATTCGTTACTCCAGGCCAGATGAGACACGAAAGCACCCAAAGGACCATGCATTGCAGTTCTTCGCCCGGCAACAGGCCATCTGAGCTTCGGAATCACCCAAAACACCCAAAACACCCGAGACAGCCTTGACCCTTGGCGACCGGCATGGATTCAAGCCCGCTGGCTTCGTCACCGACCCTGTCGCTGACGCCGCCACTGCCACTGCATGAGAAGGAACTGCTGTTCACAGACTGGGGACTGTCCGATACGGACGACAGCCAGCCAGTGACCGGCTTGGGCACCGTCGAGAAGCCGGACTCGCCGTGGACCGAGCGTGAGCGCGAGCACCGGCGCAAGAGCAAGGCTTTTGCGGCTGCAGCCAAAGCAGCGGGAGAAAGGGTGGCTGAGACGGCCGCTGAGAAGGCCAGAGCAGACGAGGCTGCACTTATGGCCGACCACGGGAGCGAGAAACACGGCGGCTGTGACAACGACGACGTTGTCGAAGTCATCGACTTGACACAGCCAGAGCCAAAATCACCTCGGCCACCGCATAAACCACCACACCCGCCGCGCCGTACCGCCTCGACCGTTGCTGCGCCTGTTCGTGCATCATCGTCGACCACACTTCGCCGCACGTCGTCCAATCCGCTGCCGGACCGACGAGGGCCGAAGAGAAAGCGAGAGGAGGCTCTCGACAGAGCCACGGCCGCGCGGAAACCGGGACGCCCTGCCAAGACGAGGATGACCACCAAAAAGAACGCCCGCGACATGTCGCCTCCCCTCGTCCCCGAGGGGCAGCGCATCTTTGCTGGGCTGTCCTTTTGCTACCTCCCCAATGGTGCCTTTGGCGCCCGGAAGCTGCGCATCAACAAGGCCCGGCAGCACGGCGCCCGGTGGGTGCACAGTCTGCGCGAGGCGACACACGTCGTTGTCGACAAGCAGCTGCGGTGGGCCGACGTGGAGGCGCACATACGTGACGAGCTGGCCACCGCGTCGTCGACGGAGCCTGCGGCTGCGGCTGCGGCGTGGCCCATCCTCGTCAACGAAACCTACCCGCTCGACTGCATCGGGTTCCGGCATCTGCTGAACCCCGAGCAGCTGCGGTACCGCGTCACGGGATGGAAGGACGCACAAGCGGCCCAAGAGACGGCGACCGAAAAGGGTCCAGCAAACATAACGGCCCATGGAAAGACGAGCGACACATCGCCGCCCGGTCACTATCTCATCAAGCCGGACAGACGAGAACAGGACCGGCCGGGGGTGGCACGACAGCAAGAGCACATGATTCGACAGCCACGGCACGACGTCTGAGAGGGCACCGATGACAGACGACCGCCTCCGCCGTGTACAGCCACGACAGGCGTGGCTTTCTCTCACATAGGGCAGCCGTGTGTCAGTATGCTCCTTCCGCTGTGACGAATGGCTGCATTGCCTGCTCCTGCCTGCTCTGGTGTTGTTGACGGGTCAGTCGCCATGAACAGAGTGCGGAAAGAGCAACCCGGCACTGACAGGGCAAGAACAGACGCGAACCGCACCACACAGTATGTTGTTTGTTGTTCCTTCCGTTGCTGCGTTGGGACGGCGCAGGATCACATCGATCAAATTGATCAAATCACTCATCACATCTCGTTCAGTCTCCTCCTCCCGTTTCCCACCAAGGATCAATGACTGAGCATCCATCAAACACCTCACATCAACGCATTGCCACCCCACAGACGCTTGTCTGCGCCCATTCAAAACGCCGTGCTCACACCGCTACCATGACGGCCTCGGACGAGGACCCGCCTACAATTGGTGCTCCGCATGAAAAGCCCATCGTTGCTGCGGATGAGGACCACGAGAATCCATTCACCAATGCGAATCCGCCCGGCGGCAGCCTCCTCGACCCTCTCCCAGTCTCGCTCGCCTCGGCGGTCACTGCGGGCATCACGCCCCCTTTGCTGGACACGACCGATACCCGGATTGTGACGTTTCCCTGGTATATTTTTGATCATGCCCAAGACAAATGGGTCATCTCTCCTCCGCCCATTGCTCTGGGCCACTATGTCGCCCCCTTGCCGGGGCCGCCGGACCTGGGCCCCAAAGACATGACCATCGTGACGTGGAACGTGGGCCACGGCCGGAACGGGCGCGCCGAGCGTCTGGCCAGTCTCATCGACGGCGTCCAGGATGCGGACGTCGAGGGCTGCCCGGACGTCGTCTTTCTGCAAGAGCTGTCGGGCATCGCCAAGCACACCTTGGCCGAGCTTTCCTTTGTCCGCGCCAACTACTACATCGCCGGTCTCGAATGGATGTTGGCCGACAACAAACAGGAGTTTTACAGCGCCATTTTGATGTCACGCCTCCGGTTTGCCCGCGGCTCGTGCTCCACGTTTCCCTCGCTCGGTGCTGTCTGGGCCGTCTGGTACCCCAGCCAGCTCAACCGCTACGCCCTCTGCTGCGACATTGGCGCCCCGACGGCCACGCCAGACGGGACCGGCAAGACCATCCGGCTTGCCAATGTCCACTTTGATTCGCTCGCGGCCGCGCCCAGCTACCGACGCCGCCAGCTGGGCATCGTGTCTGAGCTGCTGCATGCGCCCGACGTGTACGGCGGGCTGGTGGCCGGCGGCTTCAACCCGTTTTTGGCCGACGACCAAGACCAGAACCTGGCCGAGGAACACGGGCTGGTCGACTGCTGGACCCGGCTGCGCGGTGATGCTGCCGAGTTCCCAGGCCACACCTGGAGCATGCACGGCCCGGGGTCGCACGTCTTTCCGCCCGCTCGTCTCGACAAGATTGCCGTGTGGGGACTGACGCCCAAGACGATGGAGATTCTGCAGCCGGGCACCGTTTCCCTGCGAGTTCCAGCGGCGCTTGTGGACGCCGAGGGCGACGCGATGCCACACGATCCGGCCGATCCGGCCGATCCGGCCGATCCGGCCGACGAGCCCATCCAGATTCCCTGGAGCGACCACGCGGGGCTGGTCATGACCTTTGCACTGACACCACACCCGGGCGAGGCGACGATGCCCAAAACGCCGAGGACAAAGATTGTCATTCCTCCGGAAGGCTCTGATTCGCTCGACGAGTCCGACGAGCCCGGCGAGCCGTATGTTGTTGTGTGAATGGGTTGTGCTGTTTGCCTGGACGTGTATCATTGTGTTTTGCGGGTTGGTGCTTCGTAGTGGCACAAATGAAAGCGACCAGAACAGGGAATAGGGAGGAACAGAGAGGATCAGGCAGGGTATCACTGTGTATTCACTCGTCTATGAATCGCTAGTCTAAGTCTCAAGAAGCAATCGCAAAGCCCAATACGCCAACATTGTCATTTTCCGCTTTCCTTGCGATTTCCACACACGCCGCACACCCCCCTCCTTACCGCGACGGACTGAGCGGCCGGTTGAAGCCGCCTTGCCGGTTCATGTACTGGCGGTACTGGGTGCGCTTGGCCTTGCGGACGGCGCCTGCATTGTTGCCCGCCACCTTGGTGCCTTTGGTGGACGAGAAGCCGCTGAAGCCCATCATGGCCTGCATGGCATCCATGCCATCGTCGTCGACCTCGACATCGTCGTCGTCGTCGCCGTCGACATGGCCGCCACTGCCACCGCCCTCCATGTCGGCCTCGCCGTCGTCTCGGCCGTCCGCATCGTCGTAGCCGTCGATCTCTCCATATCCAGCGTCGTCGTAGTGTCTGCTGCTTCTGCTGCTGCTGTTGTGGCCCCCACCGACACGGAAGGACATGGGGGCGACGGCCGATGCAGACGCAGATGCAGACGTCGTGGGCGTGGACGTGGACATGGACGCCGACCCGCCGCTCTCGCCGGGCCGCGCACGCGTTCTATTCGGCAGGCCTGCCGAGGCGCTGTTGCGCAGGAGGCCGCCCTGCTCGTCGTCGTCGTCGTCGTCGTCGTCGTCGTCGTCGTCGTCGTCGTCGTCGTCGTCGTCGGCCCTTCTTCCATTCGGTGCCCGGCGGTGGTCTTGTTGGGGCCGCCGCCAGCCGCGCGGCGAGAGGGTGGCGGAGGAGGAGGCGGTGGTGGTGTGAGTCGAGACGAGGAGAGCGACGGGGGGCTGCCGCTGCGGCGGCCCGGGGAGGCGGACCGGCGGCGGTCCTCGCGGTCGCCCCGATCGCTGCGGTCGTTGTGGCGATTGTCACGCCGGTCGCGGTCGCGGTAGTCTCTGCCGTCGCGTGAGCGCGACCGATAGCGGCGATGGCGGTCACCGCCACGGCCATCACGCCCACGGTCATCACGTCCACGGCCACCACGGTCCCGATCGTAGTCGCGGTCGTTGCGGTTGTTGCGGTCGTTGTGATCGCGGTTGCGGTTGCTGCCGCCACTCCCGCGTTCTCGGTCGCCGTCCGGCCGGCGGTTCCGTCGGTAGCTAGAGTCTGCCATAGTGTGTGATATGGGCCAAAATGTGTTGATTCGAAAAGAGTGTCCTGTGGTGAGCAGGTGGCAGAAACGCAGAAGAGGTCGAAAAACGTCCGTGAGAGAAGGCTGAGGAAATTCTTTAAGACTGCACGTGACAAGGCCCCACAATAGCTTTTTTGGTAGGCAGCAGGCACAAAGTTACAGTGGTCTCTGGATACCTGTTTATCGCTAACTTAACACGCAATGGCACACACGCAACTTTGTCGATAGACCACGATTGCATACAAAAGAGCCATGAGCTCACATTCGAGATGCTATCTAGAAATGCATTTCCTTTCCAACTATGATAATGAATGCAGTGGCCGCAAACCAAAAAAAAAAAAAAAATACCAGAACGCCCCACAGGTGGTATCCTCTTTATTATTCGCTACCGAGCAGAACACAAGGTGGCCGAGCCTTTTATATGAGTGATCATGTACAGAAAGGTGGGCAGTCATCGATCAAGGTAATCGACGGAGAGGACGAGTCTATTTCCGCAGCAGGCCGGCATCTTCTGCGTCGTCGTCGCCGTCAGGGTCGCTGTCGTGGTCGCCGTCGAGGCGCGGTGGACGGTTGGCGTGGGCGTTCCGACCAACCCCAGACCCAGACGGGGAGGACGAGGGGCCCAGCCCGGGCCCGTACTCGGCCGGCCCCGAAAACGTTTGCATCGGGTGCTGCCGGGCGGCGGAGTGCTCCTTGTGGACGTCGATCTGGGCCTGCTGGCGCATCTTGGTGATTTTGATGTAGTTGTAGACGACAATGGCGGCGAGGGTGACGACGAGGCCCAGAAAGTTGACGAGCGTCAGCCTGTCGTGGAAGACGAGCGTGGCCGTGACGATGGTGACGACCTCCTTGAAGATGCCGGCAATGGACAGGGTGACGACGGAGGTGCGCTGCAGCAGGGCAAACTCGGAGGCCGTCATCAAAAACGCAATGGTGCCGGGGAAGAGGACCAGCAGCGGCGCGCGCAGGCCGCCAAACTTGTCGCTCAGCTCGCGGAGGCCCTGGAGGAGCTCGGGGACGCCCTCCATGGGGATGGCCAGGGCGAAGAGGGTGACAAACATGACCGGGGCGAGGTAGAAGATGCTCGAAAACGGGTTGGACGTGGCCGGGTTGCGCAGCAGCATGATCTGCGTCAGGCCCCAGCGGAAGCCCGAGAAGAAGGCGGCGGTGATGACGAGAAAGAAGCCAAAGGGGTCGAACTTGACTTCGCCGGCGACCATCATAACGACGCCGACGGTCATGGTGGCGATGATGGCGACGAGGCGCAGCGTCGGCTTCTCCAGGCCAAAGGCAAACGCGAAGAGCAGCACGAAGGCGAGAGACGAGGACTTGCACATGGCTGGGAAAGAGGAGAGAGGAAAAAAGAGGAAAAAAAAAGGCCAGGTGTTAGTATGCAGTATTTCGGGTTTCAAACAACACGCTTGCTGTCGCGCCGGGACTCACTGTAAAATGTCAGGGTAATCAGCTTGAGCGAGGCGTTGCCCAGGCCGATGTCCAGACCGGTCGCAGCTCCGCACGGCCCGATGCGCGTGAGGTAGAACCACTTGGTCATGGCCGGCTCGAGCGGCCTGTCGGCTTTGCCGTTGGCCTCCTTATAGGCATCCTGGCCGCCGACGTCGACGTCGACGTCGCCATCGTTCTCGTCCTCGTCCGCACCCTCGTCGCGAGCGACTGGGCGATGCCCGCTCCCATTGTCCCGGCCGTGGCTCGGCCGCAGCGTCGGCACAAAGTACAGCACCAGACACGACAAGAAGAACTGCACCAGCATGTGGACCGACGTGGTAAACAGCGGGAAGGGGAAGTTGCTGCCAAACATCCACTTGTTGTACAGCGAAATGCTCAGCGAGAACAAGTACCACAGCCCGATGAGCAGGCCGTCGACCAGCAGCCGCCGCAGCACATTCTTGTCGGCCTCCTTGCGCTCGTCCTCCGTCAGGGCGGCCATGATGAGGCTGCTCTGTGCGTCTTCGACGAGCCGGCCGTCGCCGAAGCCAAACTCGGAGCCGCCGCCCACTCCGCCGCCGGGGACAAAGCGCTCGTCCAGGTTCGTCCGGGTCCGCCGCGCGTCGCCACGCTGCCTCCGTGCGGCGGCGCCCAGGCCCGTCTCTTCGTCGGTGTGGAGGTCGCCGTCGTCGCGTCCGTAGTCTTCGTCAAGCAATGCGTGGTCGGCGCTGCGTCCGTCCTGCCTTGCGTCCTCGCCGTCCTCGTGCTCCTCGCCGTCCTCGTCCTCCTCCTCGCCCCATGCATCGTCCCATCCGTCTCCTGGATCGTCTCGCGGCTGCAGTCGATGTGCTCGTGCGGTCGATGCTTGTGACGTTCCTGCGCCTGTCGTCCCAACCGCCGTGGCCGTTGATGCGGCCGTGGACGCCTTCCTGGGGCGGCCCGCCGTCCCGACACCAATGCTGCCATTGTTGTTGTTGCTTTTCAACAGACTACTTCGCCGCCGTGGTCGTCCGGACGTGCCCGAGGACGAGGACGAGCCGGCGATGGGGCTGGGATCGATCAGGTCCGCCGTGCCCGCATCGGCCACGGGGCTGTTGGTCGACGAGGAGCCAGCGGACGGGAAGGAAACGGCGGACAGCCCCAACGCGGCCGTCCGTACTGGTTTTGGAGACGGCATTGCGAGTCTGTGGACGAGGTTGAGAGGACGAGGTCGAGAGGAAGACGACGAAGAGGAAGAGAAAAGAATGCAGGAAATGGACAAAAGGGGTCAGACGACCGTTGCTCGCATGGCTGTACGTGACGATGAGAATACAAATGGCGGTGTTTGCAGGGTGGAAGAGATCAAGGCCGTCGCCAGAGAGCCGTCGTGCGTTTTCGACTCGTTTCTGCGTTTGTTTGTCGAGTCGTGGCGGTCGAGTCTGTTTCTCTGGACAAGGCTCGATGGCTGTTTCCGAAATTGGATATCTGCTTTGGCGCTGGCCGAGACCTCCTTCCCCTGCGCATGCACGTCCCAGGAAAGGATGCTACGGCTGGGCGGTAGCGATGAAATACTACTGATATTGAGTAACGGGCCCCTATTTCGCTCTCTGCACAGTGGTCTGTTCAGGCTTGTTCAGGGGGAATGCAGCTGGGCGCGCTAACAGAACACCTCCAACAGCAAATGCAAAGGAGATAGTGCATATATTAGTGGATCAGCCAAGCAAGCTGTACGTAAGAGTTGCGAATGAAGAGAAACGATCTATATCAATACAATGCATAAAGGCGAGTTCGAAAGCAACCACGAAAATGAGACAGTTTTGAACATTGGCATTCACCAGCTCACTTTCGAGTATCCCCCTTGGACAATTCTTCTCGCACGTGGGCGTGAGTTCTTGGCAGGTAAAAGCAGATGCTGGGAGATGAAACAGACTTCATGATGTTTTCAGAAATGCAACAACTGATTGAGCATCTTTCAGCCGTACAGATTGAGGAGTTCTTTAAGAGAGACCCGGCGTCACACGCCACGACTGCGATCAATGGGCCTCAGACATCCTCGGACGGCCTGTCCGCGCGTCGACTGTGCAAGGCGTGACAGGCTACACCGTCGAAGCCCCCGGCGGAGTCGTCCAATTCCGCTCTCCCGAAGATGCTCTAGACGTACAATTCATCCACAACGCTCGGTTAGCCTACGGACCTTTTGTACCGTGTCCTCGTAATGCCGGTGCGGTACGTGGGCTCCAGGACAATGTTGGTGGCGTAAGCGTGTATCTCGCGCGGCTTGAACTACGTGCGAATAATAACCGTTTTCTAAAAGTTGCTTTACAAGACTTGGCCTCGTACGTCCCCGCTCTACCGTTTATTACTTGACCAGAATTATCGGTATTGAATTATAACTGTATTCTCAACTTACAACCACGTCTCGCTTCTTCGCCGCGCCATGGCATCAGATACCGCCCTTTACTGCCACTCTTTCTGCTTCCTCCCAGTTGTTCACCCTTTATAAGACTGACCTCGAACGGTTGTCCCACGGCCTCCCAAATCGGTTCAAAGAACACTAAACGGGCTGCTACGAGATCTCCCCTCCTTCGCCCACGACTGGCCGATGGTGCCCAACCATACCGACCTACTTGAGAACAACATCCATGTAGACCCGGCGACGGGCCACATCACGGGCATCTGCGACTGGAAGGACGCCGAGGTCAGTCCGTTCGGCACGTCGTTGGAGGGGCTCGAGAGCCTGCTGGGAGAGCGTACGACGACGGGCTGGCGCTGGGTCACCGATTCGCGCGAGCTTCGGCGTGCGTTCTGGGACGCATTTGCCGCCATCGTGGGACCTGGCGTGGACCTGGAGCGTGTTGGGGTTGCACGGCTGGTTGGCATTTTCGTAAAGTATGGCTTTGTGTGGGTAGACCGAGAGAACAAGCGGCTGCTGACGGAAAGTGACAACGGCTCATCGTTTCTTGATGCCATCACGTTAGGTGTGGAAGATATCTGGGTCGACCCTTCAAGTCAAACATGAAAAGGCTCACCTTTGCATCGACTATGGTCGTCGTAAAGAGATCGCCCAGATCGTTCTCAACATTGGCAACCATCAGCTCACTTTCCGAGTACCCCTTGGGCACTTCTTCTCGCACGTGGGCGTGAATTCTTGGCAGTTATAAAGAGATGTTGGGAGATGATTCAAACTCATGTTTACGACACACAGTTAGTTCTCTGCCTCAACTACAGAGACACGACGTAGATGGTCTTGTCTCTGTCTGGCCGAGCCTCCACACAAAAATGGCATATAATCATGGCCGCCACTGTGTCAATATCAATTAGTCTCACAGCACCGAACTTTTCACACCGTGGACTTGAGCTTGCGACTGCCTCCCAATAAGACGATACTTGTGCTTTGTCCTTCAAAAATGCCTCGTCCCTCAAAATGCATCTCACAATCTACAAACACGGAATACCAGATTCCCTCCCCTCCCATCCCGCGCTTTCTATCCATTCCCAACCTCTACCGCGTCACGTGGTACGACACCACTAAGCAGCCCTCTGGCCCTCCTGCGCCTGCCGTATAAGCTGCACGACCAGACGACCTCCGCTTTGGCCCGGCTAGTGGGGCGTCTAGGGCGGCACCTGTCAAAGCCGGCCCCATGACGTTGCTGGAAGCTCCGGATGCCCCGCTGTTTTCGAGCTGGCAGCTCCTTCCTTTCTGTCGAGAGTGCCTCCGTACATTCGATTCCGGTCACTGCACTTTCCTCGAGTCGCTATTCCAATTGCGTCTCCCCCTTTTAAGAAAACACTCCCACCTCTTTTCCTCCAGTTACAGTCACAAACGTCCTTTGACTCTCACCATTACCATTCTTGCTGACACCCTTGACACCGCATCATGGCCTCGGCGAACCAGTGCAGCACGTCTGGCAGCGCCATGCGCCAACATGCCGGCGGCTACCTGCCGATCGAGAACTACGGCATCATCGGCAACATGCACACCTGTGCTCTTGTCGGCATGGACGGCAGCATCGACTTTATGTGCTGGCCCGACTTTGACTCGCCGTCTGTCTTTGGCCGCCTGCTCGACAAGAACAAGGGCGGCCACTTTAGCGTGTCGCCGCCGCTGGACCTGGTCTGCACGACCAAGCAGCAGTACCTGCCGTCGTCCAACATTCTGCTGACGCGCTACATCCACGAGGAGGGCGTGGTGGACCTGGTGGACTTTTTTCCGCGGCCCAAAGAGACGGCCGTCGTGTCCCGGGCGCCGGGCCAGGGGGGCGTGCGGGCAGCGCGGTCGGTGCAGGAGGAGCTGAAGAAGTGGCTGGTGCGGCGGGTGGAGTGCATCCGGGGACGGATGGAACTGGGTAGGTCGTCAACCGAACGAGACGAGTTAGACGAGTTAGACGAGTTGGACGAGCCAGACGAGGAGCAGGGCGCTGACTACCAGAAATCGAACTCTTCCCCGCGTTCGACTATGCGCGGGCGCCCCACAAGACGACCATCGAGCAGACCACCGCCGGCCCCGACAAGCCCAGCAAGACGGCGACCTTCCACTCCGCCGACGTCCAGCTGCAGCTGGACGTGGTCGTCGAGTCCGGCGAGCCGACCGACCCGTCGGCGGCCGACATCAACAACAACATCACAAACACCAGCCCGACAGCAACCGCCAAGAGCCCGCCCGTCGTCACCTTCCACGAGCAGGACCGCCCTGGCATGCTCGGCGCCGGCGTCGTGGCGCGCGTCGTGCTCGAGGAGGGCCAGTCCGTGTCGCTCGTGCTGCGCAGCGACATGCCCAACCACATCTCGCCGCACATCACGTCCACGCTCCTCGACTCCCAGCAGCACGACACGCAGCGCTTCTGGTACAACTGGATCAGCAAGAGCAAGTTCAAGGGCAAGTGGCGCGAGGTGGTCGACCGCAGCCTCATGATCCTCAAGCTGCTGACCTACGAGCCCACGGGCGCCATCATCGCGTCGCCGACGTTCTCGATCCCCGAAAACATTGGCGGCACGCGCAACTGGGACTACCGCTACTCGTGGGTGCGCGACGCGAGCTTCACCATCTACATCCTGCTGCGGCTCGGCTTCAAGGCCGAGGCCGACGCCTACATGGAGTTTATCAACGAGCGCATCCTGACGTCGCGCAACCCGGACGGCGGCCTGCCCATCATGTTTACCATCCGCGGCGAGACGGACATTCCCGAGATTGAGCTCGACCACCTGGAGGGCTACAAGGGCAGCCGGCCCGTCCGCGTCGGCAATGCGGCCGCGTTCCACCTGCAGTTTGACATTTACGGCGAGCTGCTCGACGCCATCTACCTCAACAACAAGTACGGCAAGCCGGCGACGTGGGACCAGTGGGTGTCGGTGCGCCAGCTGCTGGACTATGCGCTCACGATCCGCCACGACCCGGACATGTCCATCTGGGAGGTCCGCAACAACAAGCAGCACTTTACCTACTCGCAGGTCATGCTGTGGGTCGCCTTTGACCGCGGCCTGCGCCTGGCCGAGAAGCGCAACCTGCCGTGCCCGAACCGCGCCGCGTGGCTCGCGGCGCGCGACGCCCTGTACGAGGAGATTATGGACAAGGGCTACAACACGGAGCTCAAGTCGTTTGTCCAGAGCTACGAGAACAACACGGCCCTCGACTCGTCCATCCTGATTGCGCCGCTCGTCTTCTTCATCTCGCCCTGCGACCCGCGCTTCCTCAACACGCTCGACCGCATCCTGCTGCCGCCCGACCGCGGCGGCCTCACCAGCACCGGCCTGGTGAGCCGCTACGACACGACGCTGTCGGACGACGGCGTCGGCGGGCGCGAGGGCGCCTTCAGCATGTGCACGTTCTGGCTCGTCGAGGCCATGTGCCGCGCCAGCGTGTACGAGAGCCGCTACCTGGCGGGCGCCGTCAACCTGTTTGAGAACATGCTGAGCTTTGGCAACCACGTCAACATGTTTTCCGAGGAGATCTCGCCGAGCGGCGAGCAGCTGGGCAACACGCCGCAGGCGTTTAGCCACCTGGCCCTGATCAGCGCGGCCTTTAACCTGGACCGCGTGACGGAGTCCAAGGCGAGCGACGACAAGCTGTAGGCGACGAGTCGATGGAAGGTATGAACAGCATAAGCAGCCAAAGAAAAGCGTCTAGAAGTTGAAACCATAAAAGAGACAAACAGTCAAGAAACATACGAGTTGATAACAGTTGAATCAATATATTGCCTTTTGTACCTGCCTCAACGCCGCGCTAGAAAATAATTACAAATGCCACAACAGACAGTGGCCACAAAAATCTTCAGAAACCAGAGAACCTCTCTCAAACAGCTGCCGTCCGAGCTCTGGACGGACGCAGTCGCTTAGCCTATAAGCCGACTGCCTCTTTTCCAGTCGCGATGGCCGTCCCGGCCGTCCCGGTCTGCCCTGTCTGCCCTGTCTCCATGACCACATCCTTTGCGTCTGCAGCCGCCTTGGCCTCCGTCGCGTCGGTCCCGTTGTTGGCGCCCTGCTGGACGCCAAACTCCAGCTCCATCTCCTCGTCAATCGACCGGTCGCCCAGTGAGCTGAGGCCCGAACTAGGGCTTCGTGATGTCCGCCGCCGGTGTTTTGCGTCGTCGCCATCGTCACCGTCGTCCATCTCCTCGTCTTCGTCGTCGTCTGCCACGGGTGTCGGCGGCCGCGGCTGCTGCCGCGCCTCGATGCGCTTTTCGCGCCACGCTGTGATGCTCGGGCAGTCGCCGCCTTCCACAATAATACCGTCGCCGCCGGGCGTCGGGCCAGCAGCAGCAGCAGCAGCAGCATCTCCGTTTGGATCCACAGCGGCGTGGTGCTCCCCGCCGCCGCCGCCGCCGCCGCCGCCGCCCACGTTGCCCCGTCCCAGTACGGTGCTGCTGTACTTGGAGTCCTCGCCCGTCTTGCTGTGCTTCTTCTTGAGCATCATCAGGTAGTCTGTGTTTTCGTCGTCGTCGCCGTCCAGCGCCACGCGCCGAATCTCGCGGTGGCGCGGCCCGGACACAAACCAGTCGACAAACTCGTCGACGCCGCGCGGGTCGTCGTTGGAGACGCTCTGGCCGCCCGCCAGCGCGCCGCAGTCCTCGAGCGCGAGCCGCACGTCGACGAGCGAGGGCACGAGCCCCGTCAGCTCCGTGCTGTTGTGGGCCGTGTGGTGCGCCGTGGACTCGCAGAGCAGCGTCAAGTAGCGGGCGGCGAGGTCCGTGAGGGCGTCGACGACGGACGGGCGGGCGGCATGGTAGCCCTGCGCGCGGAGGATCTGGAGCACGCAGGGGCGCAGCAGGCTGTGGAAGAAGGGGAGTTGGTGTGTCATGGCCAAGGTCGCTGTCGTTTGTGAGGTGGGATTTGCGTGTTTCTCTCGAGATGGATCTCGTCGTGTGTCGTCTTGTGTCGTCTTGTGTCGTCTTGTGTCGTCCACCGCCGTCACCAGAATGCGCCGCCGCCCATCACGCAGAGGAACAACGTCGTCGGATCGCGTGCACCAGCGTTACGAGAGACGCAAGAAGCGAGGAGAGCGCGGCGTTTGTCGTGAACGGTGGCGGTTGAAGATGGAAAGTCAAGTTTGGTGAGAGTTGCAGCAGAAAGTGCCTAACAGTAACGGAAAGAGCCCCGAAAGCGAGCACGCAGGCGACCCACTTATTATGGGACCCACTTCTACCTGTAGTTTTTACGTGTAGCGCACTAAGAACCGCGAAAGCACCTGACGAGCAGCACTGTAACGCCGCTATTGCCTCTTCAGCCGAAACGAACATCTTTGCTTCGTCTCCTGCTCAGCATCATCACGAAAGCCACCGACGACAGCGACGAGCCTACGCACGGCCGACGTACCGACGACTACGACACTGCACCAATAGGCATTTCATTCGACTGGGAGCCGCGTCGGATGGCGGGCCCTCGCGACGGCCGCTAGCCTCTCGTCTTCAGGCTTCTCTTTATCTTCAGCCTCTTTTCGTTTGCCACTCTGCCACGCCGTGACGCCTCTTTCTACATCGATACGCACGCCTCCCGGCACGAGGAGCACTCTTCTGTCAGAGTAGTATATACACCAAAACGCAGCCACCATGGCATCTCCACCACCACCCGCGAAACAGTCGCGGCCCGTCACGCTCAAACTGCGGATGCCCAGCGCAACCTCTTCCATCGCGGCCAACCCGGTCGTCGCGACGCCCTCGGCCATGTCACCGCCGCCAGCGACGCCTGGTGGCGGTGGCATGCGGATTGTGCTGAAACGCTCACAACCGCCGACCCCAGCCGTCCACACCGACGGGCCGCCCCCCTCGGCCGGCGCCCCTTTTGCAGCTACGGCCACGCCGACCACGTCCACAACCACCCCGGGCATCGCCGCCCCCCCGACGCCCAGCACAGCCGCGACGCCCACGACGCCCGCGACGGTGACGACGCAAAAGGGCCGCATCTCGAAGCCGTCGGCCAAGAAGCGCGCACACGACTTTGACGAGAGCGACGACGAGGGCCGGCCGGTGGCGGCGGCGGCCAAGCCGGCGCGCCGGGCGTTGCCGAACGGCAGCAGCAGCAGCCAGAGTGGCGGCGGGGCGCAGGCGCAGGCGCACCCGCCGAAGCGGCCCAAGCTGATTCTGAAAAAGTCGACGCTGGGGCGAACGGCGAGCATCGTGCTCAAGCCGGTGGCCAAGGAGGCGCCGCCGCACAGCAAAGGCGAGGGCTACGACTCGGAGGAGGAGGACCGCGAGATGGACCCGCTGATCGAGGAGGAGTTTGTGCTGCGCATGCTGCCCGGCGAGCAGTGCGACTACCTGCGGCGCATGGTGGAGGAGCGCAAGATTGGCGTGCCGGCCAAGGACGGCGGCGCCGAGTTCGACATGAAGTGGCTGCCGGGGGCGGAGCGGCGGGCGCTCGTGACGGTGCAGCGCAAGCACTTTGTGGGCGTGCTGGTGGACCTGCCGACCATTACGGAGGGCATGAAGACGTGGGACAAGCGCAACTTTATGAAGAGCGCCGACATCTGCCAGATGCTGCTGGTGTATGCGCCCGTGGCGGGCGAGGCGGAGGCTAAGAGCGCGCCGCTGCCGGCCATGGTCGGCAAGGACTACCGGTGGCCGCACGGCCTGACGCCGCCGATGCACGACTGCATCCACCGGCGCTTCCGGAAGCGCCTGTCCAAAAAGGAAATCAAGGACAAGGAGGCCGAGCTGCAGCGGCTGCTGAACGAGGACCGGCTGGCCGCCGAGACCAAGTGGGAGCTGTTTGACGACGGGCGGACGGCCGACGAGGACGAAGACGACGGCGAGGAGGAGGAGGACGTCGAGATGGAGATGGGCGAGGAGGATGCCGAGGGCGAGGACGACGCGTACGGCGAGGCCGACGAGGACTACTTTGGCCGGCGGCAGCAAGGGCAAGGCGGCCCGGACGGCGAGGCGGACGCCGACGGCGAGATTGACGAGGCCGAGCTCATGGCCGAGTTTCTGGAGGAGGACGATGACGACAAGACGGCCGTTGCGGATGTTGGCGCTGGCGCCGCGGATGGCAGTGCAGCAGGACAACCACAACATGCGGCTGTGGCCGCCGCGGCAGCCCAAGGCGACGCAGCCACACCGGACGGGGCTGGCGGTGACGGTGACGGTGACGGGGACGGAGACGGGGACGGGGACGCAGACGCAGACGACGACGATGAGGACGACGACGACGACGACGACCTCGACGAGGACGAGCAGGCACGGGCCGAGCAGGCCAAGGGCGTGCGCGAGGACATCAACGACCTCAAGAAGAGCCTGGCCACGCTCGAGGCACAGCTGGCGGCTACGACCAACGCGCTGCTGCGGAAGCGCATCGAGGGGACGCGCAAGCGTGTCTTGTCGGAGCTGCGGCTCAAGCAGGCGTCCATTGGCGAGATTGACGAGGAAGAGTAGTGAGCCGTCGTTGGTTTGTGTCAGTTCGTGTCATCCCTCGTGGTTGTGTTTGTATTGCAAGGCCCGGCGTTTATTGCATGCTTGTCTGGACGTAACGGCCCGGCGTTTACTGCATGATTTTGTCAGGACGTGTCAGTAAATGAGCGGCGTTTGGGAGCTTGGTGCACCGTCTTTGGAGTTTTTATCTGCTTTTGTGCCGGGCACACGTTGTAAATGGATCAATTTCATACATCAGATCATCACTTGCAGGCACTGTATGTATCCATCGTCTACAACTCGAGTGCACAACTCGGTGTATTTGTACAAAGCTACCTGTCTAGCCCAGCGTGCGACATAAACCACAAACACAATGTATACATATTCACGGAGCAAAATAAAGAGCTCAAATAAACAGGAGAAACGACTGCAAAATCCCAAAACGCCAAAATGCTCAAGCTCGCTCGCCGCCGCTCGGTTTGTCTTGCCCTTTTTTGTCTTGTTCCATTCGTGTCAAGCTCTTGTCCTCCCTCATGTCCACCCTCATGTCCACCTCCATCGGCACTTAGAAAAACCGCCACCAGAGGAAAAACAGGACAAAGAAGCCCAGCCCCGCAAAGGGCCCGTACTGCTTCAGCATCAGCTCCCAGTTGATGCGCACGGCGGCGCGGCGGTACTTTTTGCTGTCGTCGCGCAGGCGGCTGCTCAGCTCGCCCATGCGCTCGAGCGAGTCGCCGCGGTACAGCAGGTCCTCGATGTTCTTGGTCATGACCTGCGTGACGTCGCGCAGCTCGTCGTTGAGCTTGTCGAGGTTCTGGGCGGCGCGGGCGTCGCCGTACGTCTGCTTGGTGCGCTGGATGAACGTGTCAAACTCCATAAACGCATAGGGCCGCAGCGTCGGGCTGGTGCGCTGGGCGACGGGGTACGTGCTGGCAAACTCGCGGGCGATGTCGGCGAGGTAGGTGAAGGCGAGCTTGCGGGGGTAGGCGCGGTCGCAGACGCACAGGTACACGACGTCGTCGGCGATGGTGTAGTGGATGGCAAAGGGGTGCGCCGAGACCTCGATGGAGGCCTGGGGCTCGGCGTTGCGGTTGAGGCGGCGCAGGATCAGCTTGACCTGCGACTTGACTTCGGCGAGGGCCGCGGAGGCCGTGTTGTTGCTCTCGTCGTCGACGGACGCGCAGAGCATGAGCCCGTCGAGGCGGGCGATCTGTGTCGAGTGGATCATGGCGATGTGTGGAGGAGGAGAGTCGGAAGGGGGGGGGGGGGGGGGACGGAGGCAAAAGGGCGAAAAAAAAGGAAAAAAGAAAAAATATATCGACAAGAAACCCGACAAGTGGGCAGCAACAATCGGGATGGCAAAGGCTGTCGTCGGAGTCGATCCAGGTGACGTGTCTTGGACGACGGCGTCTGCCTAGGTGGTGTTGGAAACTGTGGCGAGTGCGAGCCGCAGGTTACAGGGAGTGTGGTGTGTGGGTAGACGTCTGCGTTGATGTGACGTTCAACTGTTTTCGTTGGCGATGCCTCCTTTCCTCCTTTTTCGGCCGTCGTTGCTTCCTTTTTTAAAAGTTTTGTCTTGCAAGGCAGGGCAAGAGCACGGCTGCCCCTTTCGATCGCTGGCGTGGAGATTGGCAGGGTGTCCTAAACGGGCCAGCTCTCCACTTTTCTCCACGAGGCTAGCCAATCAGGGCGTTCGGTGCGTTAGGTGACATGTAAAGCAGCTCGAGTGAAGAGTTCGACCCAGTCGACATATCAAACCACAAATGAAGCGATGAGAAAATAAAAGAAAGGACGCACTCTATATTTTCCGGATTTTATGCATGCAACTTCTTAGGATTAGAAGTGCGGTACTTGGGTACATTGCAGATGCGGGCACACGTGACCCAGTTTAGACTGCTGGCTGGGCTATATAAACCAGACTAAGACGGCTTCTACTTGCCTTCGGGCATTTGGTCAATTTGAAACGATGTACGTTTGTTCTCCACAGCTCCCGAGTTCGATTCGCGGCTAGCGCAACAATTTACTGACAATTCATTGCAGACAGAGAAGATTAGCATGGCCCCTGCACTAAGGATGACACGCTATACAAAGAGAAGCTACCAATTTTTTTTGCCTGCGCTTTGCGCCTGTAGTGTTCAGTGGCCCCGCCAACACCAGCACTGCGTCAGCCTTGTCTTAGCTTCAACAGCTCCCATCTCTCGATGCAGCAAACACAAACATCGCAACATTGTCAATTCACTTCTCTGCACATTCACCACAGCGATAGTCCGTTCTCTCCTTGTGCATTCGTCATTATATTTTTTGTTCTTGAGTGTATTCTTCGTGACGTCTACGCACTACCGGCTCATGCATAGTGATCTCCATCTTGACGCTGTTCATCGCATCATTGCATCGTCGTCGTGGCCATGGCCTATTGAGGCCAAGCACCGCTACACACCGCCTGCTTTGGCGTCTTTGTTGACGCACAAGCTGCAACGTCCTCGCTATGGACTACTCATCGCCGCTGTCCTCGCCGCCGGCATCCAGTATCATCTGCGGCTACGAGAGCGACAGAGACGCCGTTGAAGACGCCAATCGTGAACACAAGATTGACCGCCCTCCCCCTATTGATCCCGACGAAGCGTCGTCTGAGGTAGATTTCGTCTTGACATCACCACGAGCGGATGCGTCTCCAGGGGCCGAGATCGTCGTGCAGGTCGACGGAGAACACGATGGGCCAATTGGTGAACCTGTTCATGATTCGATCGATGTGGCTGCCAACGAGCCAGACGACGCGACCATTGCTACAGAAGAGATCCACTCGTCACCGCCGTACACGGCCAACGCGTTTGCTGTCGTAAAGGCACTATCTCCAGTGCCGAAAGCGAAGCGGGTGCAGGAGAGGGGAAGCAAACAGAGACACGGGAAGGCAGAGCCAGACGACCAAGAAGAGACGGAGGAAGCTCCCGTCCAGCGAAGCCGGGCAAGGTCAAAGAGCGAGGCCAAGACGCCCGCCAGGACGCCGAGAAAGGCGGCGAGCAAGCAGTCCACAGTTGTGGCTGAAGAGAACAGCACCAAGACGGGGGACCAAGACACGCAACAGCCTGCAGCTACCGAACCAGACGTGCCCGCGGTCACGACAACACGTTCGGGCCGGCGTGTCGTCCAAAAGCACTATGGCGACGAGCCGTCGCCGCCGTCGGCCAAGGTGACGACCAGGACACGGACACTTGCCAAAGCCAAAGACGAGACGGCCAAGACCGGCAAGGCCTCCCCCTCGACATCGGCCTCCACCGCTGTGATGCGTCGCCGCAAACAGGCAGCTGCTCGTTGGCAGACAGACTTTGTGCTCGCCAACACGCGCTCGCCACTCACCCAGTTTGATTTGCGGACACTGCTGTGCCAGCCAGCGGCATGGGACGCGCTCGACGCGGACGAGAAGCGGGGGGTGCTGGCGCGTCTTCCGCCGGGCGCCGTTGTTCTGGATCGAGACACACCGGAGCTGGCCCGCCCCGACGTGGCCGCTCTGAAAAACGACAACAATTTCCGGCACGACTGTGCGCGGTACCGGTCGGACCTGGCGGCCGGGTTCTACGACAAGCAGTGGCTGGAGGAGGCGTTTGAGGCACACGCGATGCGGTCCACGGGATTGTTTGATGCGTATGTGCTCGACGCGTTTGAGAGCAGCTGGGGTGTCACGGTGCCGGACGAGCTGAGGCCGGAGGCGCACAGGGCAAAGAAGGTGGACGAGAGCGCAAATGTCGTGCCCAGCACGTCGCTCAAACGAAGCCGGCGGGCGCCGGCACAGCCAGTCAAAACCGAAACGACTGCTGAGACAAACACGTCCAACAATAGTCCAAACCGGCAGAAGCAGCCTAGCGTGGACACGCCAATGGACAGTGTGGAAGATGCCTCTGCTGTGCCCGCCAAACGCAAGGTTTCCGTCGACATCGACAGCGCTGATGCCACCGAAGCCGTCGACGTTCCCATGCGGAGCCGGAAACGGATGACGCCGAGCATGGGCACTGGAGTCGCGGCTGCGTCGCAGGGCCCGAAGGATGACGATCCAGTGGAGGATAGCATCGAAGTGGGTGAATGATACCAATACGCGAGCAGGGAGGCAATGGGAGGTGCAATTATGTTCTTTATTTACAACAAGATAACGACAGAGTAATGAACCGATACGACGACATGACATTCGAGCTACACTCTACACTATTCCCGTCCCCTTCCTACGTCGATGCCGACTTGGGAGCGGCCGCGGCCGTCGTGCCCAGCCGCTTGGCAAACTTGATCTCCTTGTTGGCCACGTCAAAGACGGCGACGAGCTGCTGCATAAACGTGTCCCCCAAGATGTACGGCAGCTCGCTGCGCGCGCCCACGCCCGACAGGCACAGGTTCTCGCCCACGCCCGCGCCGGGCGGCGGCGGCAGGATCATGCTCTTGGGGTCGGTCCAGATGGTCTTGTCGCCAATCTGGACGCCGAGGCTGGGCGGCGTGGCGTCGCAGCGCACGATCCAGGCGCCCTGGTCCGGGTCGAACTGGGCGCGCGGCGTGTAGAGCTGGTTGATGGCGAGGGCGACGTCGTACGAGAAGAGGTTAAGCGTGGTGCCGCTGTCGACGATGATGGGCACGTCGCGCAGCGGCTGCTGGTCCATGGTGAGGGTGCTCCGCCGCAGGAGGCTGCTGTTGTACTGGAGCGACTCGATGCTGATGGTGTAGTACATGTAGCGCGCCTGCAGGCTGGCGCTGCCGCTGGCGCTGACGCTGCGCATCACCGTCTTGACAATGGGCGTGGCGACCCAGCCGAGCGCCGGGTCGACGGCGATGTGCGCGGGCGCCCCGCCAAAGGCCAGGAACGACTGCTGCGGGTCGCGCGACAGCGCCAGGCTGAACTGCGTCACGTTGTTGCTGCTGCTGCTCGCCATCGTCGCCACCAGCGGGCTGTACTCGACGGGCGTGCGCAGCTGGTCCGCCAGGTCGCCCGCGCGCGACGTGCTCACGGCGCCCGGCAGCGCGTTCGTCAGGCCCGGCAGCCCCAGCCCCAGCAGCCCGCTCGAGATGCCGTCGCCGTCCCAGAAGCCGCGCGTGCCCAGCCCAATCGTCTGGTTGCGCGTCGTCAGCCCGGCCACCGTCAGGTCCGCGTAGCCCAGCACGCCCTGCATAAACGGCCCGTTGGCCGACCCGTACGCCACGCTCAGGTGCTGGTTGGCAATCGCGCCGCCCGGGAAGTCGCCCTGGAACTCGGGGCCAAACCGGCACGCCGCCACCAGCGTCGGCTCGTGGTACTGCGGGTCGATGCACGAGAACCCCTGCCGCACAAACCACGTGTCGCTGCTGCCCGTGTCGACGACGAGCGACAGGTTGTTGGTGCCCGCGACCACGCTGGTGAGGTACTCGATGTCGTGGTTGGCCGAGGGGGCGAGGCCGCTGCTGATGGCGGCGGGGGGCGTGGACGAGCTGGAGCTGGTGGATGTGGATGTGGATGTGCCGTTTGTCGCGTTCGACCCGTTCGACCCGCTAGGACTGCCTCCGGCCGCGACTGCCTCGTGCCATGTCGCGTGCAGTGGCCAGACCGCCCGATCGGGGTTGTGCCATGGCCGTGGCCGGGCGCGCCTTCCCTGTGCGCCCGGGATATGGCGCACGAGCGGTAGCGTGTGTTCGGCAAGAGCGACCGCCGGTGCACGGGACACCAGCACGTGGTTTCCGCTGCGGTGGTGGCTGCCATAGTGGAGCGTCTCTGACGAGGCCGATGAAGCCGATGAAGCCGATGAAGCAGGTGCGCCGGCAGCGACGCTGGCCGCAGCCAAGCTGCCGAGCAGGACGCTGAGGACGGCCATGACAGTGCGACGACGAGAAGATAGGGGCGAAAGGAAGACGAGACGACGGGCAAACCCAGCTGCCTGGAACTGCTTCTATTCCTGACGTTGGAAAAGCCAACAAAGACACCGGGTAAAAGGAAGGGATGAGAGGCCGAAAGGAAGGAGGGCGAGATCACGGCTTTATCAAAGACGACGAGACAAAATAGGGAAAGATGGAAGGGGAAGGGGGCTCAGAAGCCAAGAAAGGAAGAATGAGGGGAGAGGGGACAAAGTGATGGAAAGATAGAAACGATATATTGGAGTGGTTGTAGTAGATTGTGCAATGGGACAAGGACACTGGATCAGGAGACGAACGCGGAACGGAGCAAGCCAGACTCGCTGCGATGGGAGAGGCAGATATCACGAGCGGTGATATATCCCGAGAGTAGTAAGGGGATCGATTCCAGGCTCGAAGATAAAGAGAACTATTGAGGTCGCGACAGTGAACCGCGGTGATGAGTCAAAAATCAATGATCAAAAAGACAAGAGGAGGGTAAGCTTGCGAATCATGACGACAAAAAAAGGCACACACTGTTCCCTGCGCAGAACTGCCAAAATGGCAAGAAAGTCATATTACTTCAACGCCCGAGCGTTGACAAAGCTCGTCACCACTCTGGCCATGTAGAGCCAAGGCGTCTTTCTGCTTCTCCATGTCGAATCGGCCATGGGACTGTCGTGTGCCGCGCTGGCCAAGAGCGGCAATTTGGACAAAATAGAGAAGAAAAAGAAAAAAAAAAAAAAAAAAAAAAAAAAAAAAAAAACAAAAAAAATACTGATCGGGGCCCAAAACAACGGAGGATGGCGATCGACGCGCTCTGCCGGCAATGTTGGAGAGAGTGGGAGGGCATGATATATATTGATTGGAGCTATAGGGCAATATACGATAGTGGGAGTCGTATGCCATGATTCGGAACGAAGAAGACAGAAATAGGGAAAAGAAGAAACAGGCGGGAAACGTATTCTGTGATTGGTCCGCTGGAGACAATGAAATATATTGGAAACGGCAAGTAGAAGGAAAATAAACAACTGCATGGGAGCTGCGATGGAAGAGCAATGCAGCTACAGCGACATTGAGGGAGTTGAAGGTGACAATAAACTGTAAAACGGTAAAACTGTAAAACCGCAAACTGCAAAACCGCAAAACTGCCAAAACAGAAAGATGTAAAGTGGTGACATGACCTTACTGCTGCCGTGATGATAATAGCCAAAGTATTTGAACAATAGACGAAAGTTAAAACTACTTGGCATATTCCGAATAGAGAAAGTAAAGTAGAAGCAAACACCGGTGCTGTTAAACCGTAGAGAATATATTTTCTTGGGAAATCGTACAATGTATTCTTCAGGACGGCTTTCCGATTTTCATTTTATGTTGTTTTCTCGAGATATATTTTGTAAAATAAAATACGGAATAATACCACAAGTTGACTGCTCGCAGACGAAAAATAACCGCAAGTTTAGATAACTCATACAATACACATCAACCACGACCCAAGGGTCTTGAATACTACAGATGAACCTGTCAAAACATCCAACAGACGTCCAGTAACCGATGCAAGCAACGCAATGATCGAGATACAATCGCATGGTAAGGGGGTAAATAGTCGGCAAAATGACATCACGTGACAGCACTCAGAATTTTGGCCATCGCCCGACCCCGACACTCACAAGGCTGCAACTGCCTATTCTGTCGTAGGCCACCATTCAAGTAACTCATAATCGTCAATTCCTTCATCCTGTCACGTCCTGCGCATTCGAAAAGTCATACAACAACGTTCATTTCACAAGCTCGTCCCAAATCCCATTCTCGCCGCACACGCAGATGGCCACGCCACGCGCGCACGCGCACTCGCGGTCGTCGTACAGCGTGCTCCTCCTGCAGAAGCTGCTCAGCCTGCGCGATGGCGTGAGTCCGCTGACGCTGGTGCTCGACACCGTGCGCGAGTCCGGCGTGCCGCTCGTCGAGGAGATGATGCTGCGGGCCAAGACGGGCGCGGCGGCCAAGACGGACAAGACGGCCATTGTCTACGTCGCCAGCCACCTGGCGCCGCGCCGCCGGTCCCCGCACGTCGACGTGTTTGTCGAGCGCCGCGGGCAGCCGCTTGACGTCTTTCGCGAGGCGATTCTGGCCGCGGTGTCCGCGGTGTCGGCCGCCGGGCCCAAAAAGGTGCTCGTTGTCGTCGACTCGCTGTGCCACATCGCCCGCCAGGACCCGCTGCGTGCCGCCGCCTTTGTGTCGAGCCTGGTGTCGCCGGCGGCGTCTGTCGTCGGGCTGTACCACACCGACGGCGTCGGCGCGTCGTCGACGATGAGCGGCCCATCGCCGCTGCACCGCGGCAAGCCACACCCCTTCCGCATCCTGTGCCACCTGGCGACGGCCGTGCTGCGCGTCCGGCCGCTGCACGAAGAGGTTGCGCGCAAACGCGCCCGCGACCGCGCCGAGGAAGTGCCGCGCTTTGGCTGGGCCGAGGGCGAGGGCTGGCCGTACGGATACAGCGATGCGGCGCTGCGGTACGGCACGCGCCGCGACTTGGTTGGCGGTACGCCCGAGGCGCTGGATCGGCGCGGGCTGCTGGTCACGATGGAGCTGCGGCGGCGCAGCGGGCGCGCCGTTGTTGAGCAGTACGTGGTTGTCCTGGGCACGGAGAAGACGGCGGCCGCCCCGGCAACACGGCCGGCATCTGCGACGGCCCCGAGGTCCACACCTGCCCCTGCCCCTGCCCAGATTGCCTTTCCCTGGCAGCCTGGTGCCGTACCGTGCGCCAACATCACCGTCATGGCAGACCATCCGTTGTTTGCGGCCGCACGCGACCCAAGGGAGGACGACAGGCAGGACGATGTTCGTGGCGACGAGGACGCGCCGACATCCACGTTCAACCTGGGCCTGACCGACAAGCAGCGCCGTGACCGTGAGGGGATTGTCCTGCCCTACTTTGATGCCCAGACCGACATTGGCGCTGGTGAGGGCGGCCGCATCCTGTACGACATGGGCCGCGAGGACGACTTTGACGACGAAGAGGATGAGATATGACATGCATGCTCACCGTGTAGGATAGATGGCAAACAGACGCAAGAGATACCCAACTAAAATACGCTACGCACATTTTGAGATGATTGAAAACAAAGTTGTGCAAATGCCTGATTGTAGAAAACCCTTTACATTGTTTCCACATGGGAGCGCTCACGACAGGTAGTATATATGCAAAAATGGAACAGACCAGACGCCGATGCCCACCAACCCGGCCCGCAAATGAACGCAGTATGATGCCACCCTAACCCAACAACTTGAGCCCGTTCTTGGTCTTCTTGGGCTTGTGCACGCCCGACGACACGGGGCCCAGGGCCGGCTCGTACCCGGACGCCTTGGACTTCTTGCCAAAGCCACCACTGCCGCTGTTGTTCTTGCCGGAGGCCCCTGCGGCACCACCTCCCAGAGGCGTGCTCGTGCCGCTGTTGGTGGCGCCCGTGCTGGCCACGTCGCCCGGCGTGCTGTGTCCGCCGCCGCCGGTCTTGTTCTTGTTGTTGCGGTTCTTGCCAAGGCGTTTCTTGTCGCCGCCGCCGTGGCCCGTCGTCTCGTCCTTGAACGGCGTTACTTTGATGTCGGTCGTGCTCTTGCGCACCACCACCGGGTGGCTGCCAATGTACTTGCCGTTCATCTCCTTGGCCGCCTGGAAAAAGTCGTCCGCGTCGCTGAAGCTCACAAACCCGTACCCCCGCGACTTCTTGGTCCACTTGTCCCGCTTCACCAGCGCCTTCTGCACCGACCGCCACCGCGAAAACGCCTTGAGCAGCGTGTCGTCCGTCACCTCGCCCGCCAGGTTGCCCACAAACAGCCGCAGGTGGCTGGGGTCCCACTCGAGCAGCGAGTCGTCCGTCCACGTCTTGCCGCCGCCCGACCGGTACACCGTGCTCTGCTTCTTGTCTTTGTCCTTGGCGCTGCTGCCGCCGTCGCCGCCGTCGGCGTCGCCCGACGCGTCATCCCCAACGGCAGCGTCTGCTGGAACCGGCATGCCGTCCGGCCCGTACGTCACGGCCGCTGCCCCAGCGGCCGCTGCTGTCGGGCCGTAGCTGGGGCCGTAGGCAGGCCCGTAGCTGGGTCCGTAACTGGGGCCATAGCTGGGTCCGTACGACGTTGTAGCACCCGTCGCATTGGTGTTGGCATTGGCGTACCCACCCTGCCAGTTGTTGTTCTGTCGGTAGCCCCCGCCGCGACCAGCCCCAGCACCAGCACCAGTACCAGCACCATAGGTCTGCTGTGGTTGCTGCGGGCCATGGGCAGGGAACGGGTTCTGGATCGGAGGCGGTGCCGTGGGGCCGTACGATTGTGGGCCAATGCCCGCACCGGCCGGTGGTGCTTGTGGTCCGTACTGCGTTGGGCCGTACTGGGGCCCATAGCTCGTCGCCGGAGGTGCACTGGGGCCATAGCTCGGTCCTTGCGGTTGCCTCTGGGGGTAGGAGTAGGCGTTGTTGCTGTTGTTGCTGTTGTTGCTGTTGCTGTAATTGTTGTAGCTGCGGCCGGCATCGGTGCCTACGGGGGCATACGTCCGCGAGTACCCCAGCTTGGGCCCTGCGGCCTCTGCTGCTGGTGTGCCATAGGATGTGGCTGGCGGTGCGCTCGGCCCGTAAGTCGTGGTCGGGGTGGAGGAGCTCGGCGCCGGGCTGACAGACGACGGAGGTGGCCGTGCAGGGAGCGACGGGTGCGGCGAGTTGACGCCTGGAGGGCCCGAGAAGGCCATGATGAATTTCGATTGCAAAACACCAAAAAGGAGAAAGGAGGAGAAAAGGACAGAGAGAGAGGTTGGCGACGTGTCTTGTGCAAGCTGGGCACAAACGTACCTGTAAGCCAAACAAGCCTTTGGATCGTAGATGACGATGATATGGAGAACGTCTGTCGTGTGTCGCGGATTCGGCTGTCGATGGAAGCCTGATGATGCAGCCTAATGCGATGGCGATGTTTTCTTTGCGCTGTCTTTTCTGCCCTCGTCAATGACATTGGGCGCGGCGCATGTTGGTGGCGGTGAGAATAGCACGTGATATAACACAAGTCTCTGACTAAGCCTAGTTGACACAGTGCATTATACAGTATAGTAACGTTCACACCGTGTCCTCCTTGCTATGCACACACTGTTATGACAGCTCAAGCTCAGCTCCCTCAGGTCCTCACTGTCAAGCTCTGACGTAGGTCACAGCCCCGCCATGCCCCAACTGCTACCCTCTGGCGTCTCATGGCAGGCATTGGAAACAAATTCAGTTGGAAACGTTGGAGAGTGCTGAAGAAACGCTGCAACTCCGGGGAGAAACGAGAAAACAGCCCATTTTCCACCTTTCCGCGACGAACTGAGCATGGAGTACAAAGCAACGCCCAGCAGCCGCCTCCTCCGTACAGTTCCTCCTCCACAGCGTGTTTCCGTCGGATGTGCCTTGTCATTAGAGTATGAAGCCTGTCAATTTTACATTTTGCATCGGACGTCACTTACAAACATCGTATAAGGTTTGTCGCGCAGGCCCTTCCAAATTCGAACAGACGCCGATCCAACGGGGAAAGAGGGCGCGCCCCAATTGGTGGTGCTTCTTTGCTCGCTCTTTCTCTGTCGTGGGCGTGGGGGTTGTTGGTTGGGCCGGTTCTTCAATTTGTTTGGGGGAGTTTGGGGCTGTTGGCGGGTCGCTCTTGCCTCCTGCGACCCTTGTCCCATTGTGCCAAGATGATGGGATGGAAGCAAAGTCGCGCTACGGTGCCGCTCTGCCCCTCTCGCGGTCGTAGTTGCTACGCAGTAGATGCTTTTTTTATTTTTATTTTTTATTTTTTTTTATTCCACCGCAAACACACCGGTATATTTCGCCGTGGGATGTTCTCGTCCTTAGATTCACCAGCTCAACTGGCTCCAGGCTGGAGGCAAAGCCTCCGGTTCTCGCTGGGAAGAAAAGAGGCAATGAAAAACAGAAAATGCCTCCAACTGTGATTAGTCGAGGCACGCACATGGAAGGAACGACGGAGCCCTCTGCGATGCCCTCTGTTTCACTGTCGGCCAAAATGGCTTGGCCGGGGATGCCAGTTCCGTACGCCTGGCTGCGCACCTGTTACAGGATGGTCCCGTCGGATATGTATGTATCGTATCTTGTGCCTGGCAGGACGATGCAACAGGCAACAGGGTGCAAAAATGCAAAAACAAACCATGCTCGTTATGCTGTGGCTGCTGACACGGGGCTCCGTCTCGTTGCCTCATTCCCCTTTCGCCCCATTCGTTCCTTCTGTTTCTCTTGCGTTCTCCTCTCACTCCTTCATCTCTGGGGCGGCTTGCCACGACGGTGTCCTATATACGGTCCTTGCACCTGCCTGCTTCGGCCTGAGAATGCTGCTCGGACGGAAAGGACGACCCAATCGCCGTCTCCCAACACGACAAATCGGAAATAGAGGTTTCCCGGCCAGCAAGTAAGATAGTAATGTCTCTGCTGTAGCTCGCGTATCTGGTAGCAAAAAATGGCTCTACTCCATATGGATACTGCTCACCCTCCTCTAGCTCGGGTGTCCGGGTCGATTCTGCCCTCAGTAAGCCCCACCTTCAATTACCCGCCTATGGCTATTTTCCCGTGTTCTTTTCCGACCGTTAACGGACCAAGAGCACCTCTTCGCCTTCCTTGTTGTTGGGACGTGTTTTTTGTGCTCTTGCCTCGTTCCTGGTCCTGAGCATCGGATGCATTGTCGTTGGCTTTCTTTTTGGCAGCCAACGGATTCTGGGCTGTGGCAGGCCCATCGCTCTTGCTTTCTTTCGTCTCATCGTGTGCCTTGGGTCTTGCCTGCTTTGGCTGTGCACTTGCAGACCAAAGCGTCGAGAGATGGCAAATTCCTAGTTTGGGAATTGCCAGTATTAATGCATTATTACTGCTTGCTAATCGTGGTCCTTCCTCGGCGGCGTCGGCTGCCAGCCTGGTGTGCCTGCCCATCTTGGACCTCGCGGCGACTGTGGGTGTCTCCAGCAAGGCCTGCGAAATGCTGCAAGGCCCCGACTAGCGTCTCGTCTCCGGCCCCTGCTGGACCTGTTAATTACGTCTCCCAGGAAGCCAGCTTTCATAGCCTATTGACTCTTCTTCCTCTTGCCATGCGAAGTCTTGTCTATCTGCTACTGGTGTTGGCGGAAACCGTTCTGCGATGAGGGGTGGCTCCTGCCGTGTGTCGCACGTAACCGCTTCGTTTTGCTCCTGCCGCCGACTCTCGTTGCTTCTTTCCCTGTGTTTCTGTGCGCGTTGCTCCTGCCTCTTGCGCAGCGAACCGTGGGCTGCAACCGAACGCACCTTCTCCGTGTCTGTGTGTTTTTATGACTGTATGTCGTATGAGCGTGTGTCGTCGCTTCTTTGTGTAAGATCTGTTTGGTCTAGAGCTTGTCTCGTAGCCCCGCGCCTGCCTTGTCAGTCACTCGCCTCTACGCTCTACGCCAAACCAGTGAAGCAAGCAGTCGCATTATTTTATTTTATTCGCTTTAATTTTCTGACTCTCTCCTTCCTTCCGCTTTCCTTTCCTCCCTTTGTCTTTCGTCCCTTCTCTTCCTCCCTCTCTCCTTTTTTCTTGTCTCTTCTCTCCTTTACGTCTCCAAACTACCATCACCATCCACGTCGAATCGACATTCCCACTCAACAGCTTCGCACCCTTTATCCTCATCTCCATCCACAGTCTACTGCTCAACAGATACAGCCATGTCTGGTCCTGTGTAAGTGCATCTCTTCAGCCCCCCCCCCCCCCCCCCCCCCTGCTGCAGCTTGTCCTGTGCCTCATCGGGGCCATTCGCTGCCCCAATTGCCCCATTGCACCCTTCTGGGATGCGATGCTATTGTCATTGCCGTCAACTTGTTGATTTCCTGTTGCCGAATTTCCAATTGCTTCTCGTGTCGGTGACTTTGTCACTTCGGTGCTCGACGTCGAAACGCCCTGCTGTTGGAAAATTTACCCCACCCCCGCACCAGTCGTCTGCGATCATGGCCCAAGAGGAGACGGGATGCGCCACGGCAAAGAAAATAGTAATCGCGGGCCAGTGAGGGAAATACAAAGGCAAAGAAATACCGGCGGACGGAACCCGGGAGGTCTCTCAAAAAACGCGCCCCAGAGGCAACCCAACGGGTGTCGTTGCGCCTTTCTGGACCCTTGCTGTGCTTCGCTGTGCGCGCACTTTTGCTTCACGTCCGCTTTTCACAAATTAATGGCCGGCTGAAACGTTTTCTTTGTCCCTGTCACAGAACCCGCCTGGCGATGCTCGGCGGGGCCCTTCAGACCACCTCCTTCACTGCATCCTCCTCCTCAACTTCCACCTTGTCCACGCCTGCACGGGGCAGCGCTGCCCAGAATCAGAACCATGAACAGAAGAATGCTAACAGCAATGCCAGTGCTGATCTCGGCCTCATCGGCCTGGCCGTCATGTGAGTTGTCATCCCCCCCCCAACTCTCTTTATTAGTTCCGCGGATCGCCGGAGAAATCGTCTCGGAGCTCCCCCGGCCGTCTTGCCAAAGGCGTGGCTGACCATTGTCGCAAAACAGGGGCCAGAACCTGATTCTGAACATGGCCGACCATGGCTTTACCATCTGCGCTTTCAACCGTACCGTGTCCAAGGTTGACCGCTTCCTGGCCAACGAGGCCAAGGGCAAGTCCATTGTCGGTGCCCACTCCACCGAGGAGTTCGTCTCCAAACTCAAGAAGCCCCGCCGTGTCATGCTCCTCGTCCAGGCCGGCAAGGCTGTCGACGACTGGATTGAGACCCTCATTCCTCTGCTGGAGCGCGGTGATATCATCATCGATGGCGGCAACTCACACTTCCCCGACTCCAACCGGAGAACCCAGTACCTGGCGTCCAAGGGCTTCCGCTTCGTCGGCTCCGGTGTCTCCGGTGGCGAGGAGGGTGCCCGCTACGGCCCTTCCATGATGCCCGGTGGCCAGGAGGATGCTTGGCCCTACATCAAGGACATCTTCCAGAGCATCGCCGCCAAGAGCGACAACGAGCCCTGCTGCGACTGGGTCGGTGACGAGGGTGCCGGCCACTACGTCAAGATGGTCCACAACGGTATCGAGTACGGTGACATGCAGCTCATCTCGGAGGCCTACGACATCATGAAGCGCGGCCTGGGCCTCTCCAGCAAGGAGATTGGCGACGTCTTCGCCAAGTGGAACAAGGGCGTCTTGGACTCGTTCCTCATTGAGATTACGCGCGACATCATGTACTACAACGACGACGACGGCACTGCTCTGGTCGAGAAGATCCTCGACAAGGCCGGCCAGAAGGGCACCGGCAAGTGGACCGCCATCAACGCCCTCGACCTCGGCATGCCCGTCACCCTGATTGCCGAGGCTGTGCTGTCGCGCTGCCTGTCTGCCATCAAGGACGAGCGTGTCACCGCCTCCAAGAAGCTCGAGTTCGTGGGCCGCGCCAACAAGTTCGAGGGCAACAAGGAGCAGTTCCTTGAGGACCTCGAGCAGGCTCTGTACGCCTCCAAGATCATCTCCTACGCCCAGGGTTTCATGCTGATGCAGGAGGTAAGCCGCATTGTGTTCCCTTCCCCCCTTTGCTCTACCGAGTCCTTGCATTTTGCCTGACATGCCATACTCACCATCCGTCTCTGTCTCTAGGCCGCCAAGGAGTACAAGTGGAAGCTGAACAAGCCGTCCATTGCCCTGATGTGGCGTGGTGGCTGCATTATCCGCTCCGTCTTCCTCAAGGACATCACTGCCGCCTACCGCAAGGACCCCGATCTGCAGAACCTGCTCTTCGACGACTTCTTCAACAAGGCCATCCACAAGGCCCAGCCGGGCTGGCGCGACGTTGTTGCCAAGTCGGCCCTGCTCGGCATCCCGACCCCGGCTTTCAGCACCGCCCTGTCGTGGTTCGACGGCTACCGCACCAAGGATCTGCCTGCCAACCTGCTGCAGGCCCAGCGCGACTACTTCGGTGCCCACACCTTCCGCATCAAGCCCGAGGACGCGTCTGATAAGTACCCCAATGGCCAGGACATCCACGTCAACTGGACCGGCCGCGGTGGCAATGTCTCTGCCTCGACGTACCAGGCATAAGCGAACAAGTGTCAGAAGTAGAAAGGGAGACCGCGAGATTGTTGGGTTTCGTGCATTTTCGTGCATTTTCGTGCATGCCGTGCATTTTAGGATAGACTGCAAGACCTGCGGAAAACAGAAAACAAAAAATGGAGCACGGACAATGAGGAAACACTAGAAATGACCACCGGGTCGCGCGCAGCAGTGTAGGTGTTCAGTCCTACCAAAAGGACTGAGCCGCCGAGTCAAAGGACTGGGCTGGTGTATTGTTGTCCTTTGTCCTTTGTTGGTGCATTTGCTTACCACCGCTCAAACAAAATGTGCGACGATGTTAATTAAGAAGACATGTGTAACTGTTATGCAAATTTGTTGTCTGGAAGCATTTGACTGTGAGTGAATAGTTCCCACATGCCTTTTGCCGGTGATTATGGTTCATAATGCCAGGGTGGTATTGTATTTCAATAGCAGCAACGTATTTTGACGATGCGCGAATATCTTGACAATCCTGACCAAATTACAATCCCAGCCAAATTCCAGATTGCAGCCTTCCTTGTCCCAAAAGAGGCGGGTCCCGCCTTTGCCGTTACCCGCCTTCAAACCCGCTCGTGACCAGAACGCAGTGTCTCCCGAGTAAAGCTGATTACTGTCTGCTGAACAGGCGTAAAAAAAATCATACAGAGTAAAATAGTAAAGAAGGGGGGCAAAAAGAACAAAAAAACGACGTAAAAGTAGTCTATGCTAGAACTCCTTTGTTCGCCAGTCCCTGACCGACGCAAAACACGAAAAAAGTAAAAAAAGAAGAAGAAAATGGCCGTTGGCATGAGAATAGTTGAATAAAACAGTAAGACATAGTGAAGAAGAAATAAAAGGGAATAAAGAAAGCAGCACAAGAGTAGAAAGGGAGTAGGGGGAAAGGGGAAAGAGAAAAGGGGGAAAGGGATAGAAGCAGAATTAGGCCCCATCGGAAACCTCGCCTTCGGACGTCCGGCGGGCCCGCTTGGCCGGCGGCGGCGAGCTGCTCTTGTACTCGCCCTCTTCGATGCCCTCGCTGTGTCGGTCGTCACGGTCCCGGTCACGGTCACGATAGAGGCGGTGGTCGTCCGGCTCGACGCTCTTGCGCTTCCGGCTGCTGGCCGGGTCGCCGTTGGGGGCAAGACGGCCAGCGAGCCCGTTGGCGTTGGCGTTGGCGTTGGCGTTGGCATTGGCATTGGCGTTGGCATTGGCGTTGGCATTGGCACTGCCGTAGTGACTCGGATGGTGGTCCAAGTCGTTGGCGGCGGCCTTGAGGGCCGCATCCGAGTCGCCCCGGCCGCGGGTCTGCTGCGGCTGCGGCTGCGGCTGCGGCTGCGGCTGCCGCTGGTCCAGCTCGAGGGGCGTCACGTCGCGGCTTGCCGTCGGCTGGTGGCTGTGACCGCTGTTGCTGTTGCTGTGCCCATTGCTGTGGCTATTGCTGTGGCTGTTTCCATTGCTGTTGTGGTCCAGCGACCGGCTGTTGAGCTGGGCCAGTTCCTGTGGACGGCGCGTGGCCTCCAGCTGGAAGACGGGCGAGCCCTGGGCGACGACGCGGCCGCTGGCCTGCTGCTTCTTGAGCGGGTTGTCGGTGTAAAAGGCGACCATGGCGTGGGTGGCGCGCGTGATGCGCGTCTCGTCGGCGCGCAGGTGCTGCCACCAGGGCCGGCCTTGGACGTCGTCGACGGTCGCGCCGGTGGCGATGCTGGCGAAGAAGATGGAGGCCGAGGCCAGGTCGCTGGCGTCGAGGGCGAGCGGCAGCGTGGTGAGGGCGGAGTCGTTGAGGAACGTCCAGGCGGCCTCGCGCACCGGCTTGGTGCCGAGCTGGCCGAGCTTGCGCAGCTGGGACCAGAGCTGGTCGTAGGGGTTGGCGACGACGAGATCAAACGTCAGGGTCTCGAGCATGAGCTCCTCGTAGGTCAGGATGACGTCGCGCCAGCGCCAGTACTCCTTGCTCTGCTCGTCGACAACCAAGTCCATGTTCTTTTGCGCGACCTTGGCGACGGCCACGATGATGTTCTTCGTCTTGAAGCAGTTCTCTTCGGTCTTGTTGGCCAAAAACATGGCCGTAGCAGCGATTTTCTACAGTCTGGGCGTTAGACGCTGTCGGCAACACAGCAAACAAAGCAAGAGAGCATGCTTGCGAGGGTGGCGACTTACATAGTGGTGGATGCCGCCGCGCTCTTCGACCATGCTGGTGCGCATGTAGAAGCGGTGGAAGAAGATGGCCGCCACATACAACGTCATCTGCGGCAGCGGGTGCGGCCGCACGGCGATGCCCGACTGGTAGATGAAGTTGACGCCTTTCGACCGGCGCTCCCGCTCCTCGGCGGGCGACAGCCCGTGCAATATGCTCGGCGTGCTCAGCAGCTCGTTGTCGGAGAAGAACCATTGGCTGGCAAATGGCGGCTGGTTGCGATTGCTGTCGTGTGCCGCGTTGCGGGCTGGCGATGCTGTCGGCAGCCGTGGTTGTGATGTCACGGACCCGTTGTGCTGGGGCAGCACTCCATCTCGCCGCGGGGAGGCGCTTCGTCGTGACAATGGTCGGCGATGTGGAGGCGAGTTTCTGGAGGAGTGTGTGGGCGGCGACGGGACCGCAGGCGGCACATCGCGCCGGCGCGATGAGGAGGGCGACTGGGACAGAGACTGGCGGTCCAAGGCCGATGTGCCTATAGATGTGGACGCAGTGGGTACGGCCGGCGGTATTGACGGCGCTGCCGAAGCGGGCGGAGCGCCGGATTTTGATGGTTGTGGAATGTGTGGCGGCTGATAGGCTTCGCGGGACGCCCGAAACCGATCGAGGCTGGCCATGGCGATGTAAAGAGGTGGTGGGGGTGTCGAGACTGGGCTGGAGAGGGGGTGGGAGGTGGGTGACGATGCCGTCGAGGCGAGACGCAGCCACTGCGCAGATGGCGCGAGATGAGTGATGTGAGACGATGGATGGTGATGTATGGCTTTTGAGTCGATGTAGATGTAACGATGCTATCTTGTCAACTGAAGTGGGCCGTTCGCCGTGGGTGGGTGGGTTTGACTGCTGCAATAGTCGGTCTGGCGTTTGCAGTCCGTCTCGGCACACGTCGTCGTTGGTGGGTGGGTTAAAGATGCAGAAAAGAAAGAAAATGGCGAGAAACAAAAACGTCAAAAATGCCGTCACTGACTGACTTGGAAAGCGCACGCAGCCAAAATCGGGGTCCAGAGCACAGTACGGGGCAAAACTGTGGCTGGTGGAAAGTACACGTGATACATGTGGCGCAAGCTGGCTTGCGGCGCGTTGGGCTGGTCGTGCACGGACCAGGTTCAGCCGCGTGAGGGAAGGAACGTCGTCCCTTTTGCGAACCAACGAAACGACCGACGCCTTTTTTGGTCCTATTCTTTTCGACTGCGTGGATGTCCGTTTTCGTTGCGCCAACCAACAGCCACCGCCCTCTCTGCGACTCTCCTTGTTCCAGACGGTCTTCCTTTGTGTCCTTGTTTCTGTTGGAATTGCTTTGGCGCATTTGTTTCTGTGTTCCCGGCGCACCGTCTGAACAGGGAGGCTGCGATTTTCGGTTGAGAGAGTCGACGAGAAGCAACAAGAAAGTCAAGAAGACGGGTTGCGAGAGAGGAGGATCCAAGTCGCGCAAAGTCTTGCCGCCATTCTTCGAGCTGGTTTGCCGGGTCGCTTCACTCGTACGCCTTTTCCACCGTCCTCGGCCGGTTGACACGGTTTGCGCGTGCAATCACGGCCATTTCTCCTCCTTACGACCTCGACGATCATCAACGACAACCTTTTTGACGACCACCGGATCCGACCAGACTGAGTCGGTTTCGCCTGCCATCTTGTTCTCTGTCTCCTTTCGCTGCACATCTCGTGCGACCGGACTGCGGACTCGACACGCGAGCGGCAGCGACGTTGCGCATCCCGAGGCTCTCTCCCTCGCGCAACATACAACATATCTCTCGCACTGTATCTTCAAACTCCCGCCTCTCCATCTCCTCATCCTGCCGTCTGCCGCCATGTTCTTCCTCCACAACCTCGAGCGGCGCGTGACGCTGCACCCGTCCTACTTTGGCCGCAACATGCACGAGCTGGTGACGACCAAGCTGCTCAAGGACGTCGAGGGCACATGCGCCGGCAACTACTACATAATATCCATCATGGACACGTTTGACATTTCGGCGGGCAAGATTCTGCCGGGCAACGGCCTGGCCGAGTTCACCGTCGGCTACCGCGCCGTGGTGTGGCGGCCCTTCAAGGGCGAGACGGTCGATGCCGTCGTCTACTCGGTCAACCCGCACGGTTTCTTTGCACAAGCAGGGCCGCTACGTCTGTTTGTGTCGTCTCATGTATGTTGCATGTGTGCATGTGTGCGGTGGTGGCTATTTATTGTTTTATTGTACCACTGCACGTGTTCAGCGTTAACATACGCCAGATGATCCCTAGCCAGATCAAGTACGACCCAAACGCGACGCCACCCCAGTTCACCGACAACGAGGACTACCGGATCGAGCCCGGGACGCACATCCGGGTCAAGATTATGGGCACGCGCAGCGAGGTCGGCGAGATGTGGGCGATTGGCACGATAAACGAGGACTACCTTGGGTATGTGATTTGCACGTGCACGTGCACGAGCGCCGGCACACAAACAAATGCTTTTGTTTTGGCCCGACGTGATTTTGTGACCTTGTGTATATGGCTTTCTTTGTTTCCGCTTTTGTTTCCCTTTGCTGACACCGTATTCCCCACAGCCCGCTGGGACCATGAGAGTGAGCGTGTGCTGTCCGCGTTGCAGCGACGGCACGGCGACTCTGGAAAGTAATTGGGTCGCGCCTCGGTCGATGCCACGATACGCGATACGGCATCATATTCAGATGCACGGCCGTTGTTGTGTGTTGTATGCAAAGACGCAAAAAACGCCGTGACGAGTCACGCCCACACGCAGTACGGGCTCGGGTCAAGTGCCAGCCCAACGAAAAGTGTATACTCGGCATGGCACGGGATGTTGTGCAATGCTCTCGAGGCGACAAAAAAAAGAACTTTGATAGACTGCTTCGAGGCTAGAGCACATGGCTGCCTTTCCTCGTTACTCATATGTTTGAATACAATTTCCCAACGGAGAAAGCAAGAGTGTTTGTTATTGGCTGCCTCATTAGCGTCGGCGTAACCATGATGATACTACGACTTACGATCTCCAAACTTGTGTACGTTGCCAATCTCATCGCTCTTCCGCCGTTTTCAACTGAATCTCATGTTGTTTGGTCTCATTTTGTTCGTCAATGTCCAATGCACACTTTGACACCGAAATCTATGTAGATCCTGTATGCATTGCGGACGGAGAGTGAAATCAAAACATGGGGAAAAGCATTGGTCGGGGTTAGTGCGGTTTGTTTTGTTTTGGCCACCAACCCCTATTTAGGTTCGCCATGTACTTTGTCCCTTGTTTCTGCTTTCTGTCTACCACAACGCAAAGTTCTGACCGGCATGATTCCATTGATAGCCTGGGGCAAACGTCTACATCTACTGCAAAAGCAGCCCTGCGTCATGCATATGGCAGTTGTGTCCGAATTATAGCGTGCGTCCACGTAACCCGACTATCGTGAACCAAACAATGCAGCCCACATCAGTCATACTTTGGGCGACAAAGGGAGAAGCCTTACTGTAGAAAGAGAATCACTCATCCAAGGCCACTTGCAAGTTGCCTACATCTACGATGTCTCTTTGCGGCATGACTGAGCACAGCCTTTGAAGGCCTATATAAATCTCGCTTTTCTGTCCAGTGTTGCTCATTTCCACCCAACCAAAGCTACCGTGTTTTGACCAGCTTCTACTCGCATCCTCGCATCCTCGCATCTTTCCACATTCCCCGTGATCTCAATCCGCATCTGTCTTTGTCAGCCACCCCGGTCAAGTCAGCTCTCCAACAGACTACCGCAGGACACACCGTATCACACCGAAAGTTTCTCTTGGCTCTTTTTTTCTTCTACAAAACTCGCTATAATGGACGACACCAAGTCTATCACAGAGGCAGGCGCCCTTTTTGGCAATCTGGTTGCTAGCCAGAAAGGCGCCTATGCGGTTTCCTCGTCTTCTGAGCACTCTCTGCACTTGGCGACTTCCGACGACTGTGACGCCACCTCCAGCGCCTCCAGCGTTTCAGCACCCTCGACGCTCTGGTCAGACAATTCCAAGGAGTCATTGGAACGTATGGCGGCCGAGGACCCCGACCTGCCGTTCTACTATGGCCACCGCATTGACTCGGATGCGCAGTTTCAGCGCATACTCGAGCACTACCTGACCAGGGAGGCGTTTAAGCAAGAGGTTGAGCGTATCAACCAGATTTTTAACGATTTTGGCGCCGACCTACCTCCGGACCTCACACGCAACGCCCGCAAGGGTCTCACGCGCCGCCGGCACCAAAAGCTACTGGCGTTTGAGCGCCACTGCAGCGCCTACAAGGACAGAGACTGGCAGGTGGCAGCCCGCGAAACACCAGACAACTTGCGAGACGCGCGCCTCGCCGCATACCATAGCAAGGTCCTGCCCAAAAACTGTTGGGACGAGATGGAGACCACGCCCTTCCCACCAGGCACCTGTGACTTGTCCGGCAAGGTTGACCGCCCTTTTCCCAGAAGTCTGACCATGGCGCGGTATCTCGACAGCATGGCGCGCGAAGCCGTCGAGGCCGGTCTCGTCACGGCCTACGAGGTCAAGCTCGACCTCAGCCAGGACAAAGGCCAGGACAAGAACGAAGACGAGGGGGACGAGGAAGACAAACAGGCGGACTCGGGTGTCTCGCACTCTAACGCAGAGGAGTGCCGTTGCCACAGAGAATTGGATGACGCCAAAAATACAGCCAATGCGTCGGAGGCTTTAAAACAGTATCGTGGCGAGGCGGAGGAGGCTGCCCAGTTCCCTTTCTTTGTTCAGAACTGGATTCGCTCGAGACCGAGGGTCTACCCAAGGGTCTACTAAGGCTTAGGATAGGGCAAAGTTTGTGACAATACCACAAAAGGGGGAGGAGTCTATGTTTAGATTTATGATACCCACAGCCAAAGAGCTTGTTTCTGAGGAAATGCCATTTGTTGCATATTCATTTACATCGTAGTTCCTCACGTGATCCTGTACTCTTTCGAGCAAGACGCATGCAATTCGCACTTTCCGTGTTTCAGACGATCGTGATATTTCCTAATGTAGAAAGAAATAATACATCCCCACGCTTTCCGAATATGGCAATTACCAAAACAAACCACAGATTCCCCCCTTTTCCGAATTGTGCTCACATTTCCCCTTTATTTCGCCCCTTGAATTTCTACTTTTGTCACCATCGACTTCTCTCATCCATCGCCAGATCAAAACAAGTTCGATACGCATCGTCAACACCATTTTGAGTCGACTCTCCGATCCAGTACAGCCACGATCCCTTGTCTCCAATGATCTCCGCACAGTACCGCCAGACATGCCCAAAGGCTATATGTCGCCTTTTATTTCAGCCACAATGCGCGTCGATCGAATCACGGCGTATGGAACAGCGGCTGCGTTTTCCTTTTGTTAACGGTGCAGGCTGTCTACTGTCGCACTATGCTGACCACATCCGCCTTATCCGTCGTTTCGTGACCTAATCGATGAACGGAGCTCGGTCCCGACTCTTGAGCCTCACGTGAACGGCACAAAATCGAGAGCGACGAATAAAACAAGACTGTCGACCAGAAAACATTTGCTCAGCGATGGGCGACAATCTGTTCTGCCCCTCCGTCGATCCCCTGTCGTTTCTTGGCCGTGCCGCACTCTATGCATAAATCTACAAATGGGGGGCGTGGTATCCTACCTCCGTGCTTATTTGCCGGAAGATGGACGGCGAAGAACAACAGCGACACATCGATCCCAACTTCCAAAGTGTACACAAAGAATCGTGTAGAGACAGAGGGACACGAAAGCACGTCGATCAGTTGAAAATACCAAAACAAAAGGGAAAAACAACCCGGACGTGGTTACAACAAATGGAAAGCAAACGAAAAGAAGCGCTGATGTGCGGATCTTGTTTATTCGCCAGGCTAATCTGCTCGGTTCTCTAATAGTCTTCCTTGCGGAATATTTCCAGACAGAGTTAATAATACAGATCCCTGCAGACTCCAGTCTCGTCGCTAATCAACGCCATCCGCTGCTTTCCTCTCGCCACTCAGCACGCATCGGGCAATATTTGGTTGACTTTGATTGTTTCCCTCGTTTACGGCCTCTGCCAGATGGAGGCTGGAAGGGGCAGGATGCGGAACCTGATGCACCACAAACACTAAGAAAAGAGATCGAATCTGAGTACGTCCCGCCCCATCTCCCCAACACACCTGAACAAGAAGGGCGGGAACCACGCATCCTCTTCTGTGGTCAGCATTGGAGTGTTATGTTTCCAAGCCATTTGTTTCTCTCCTTGCTTTTTGTTCCCTTCATTTCTTGTTGTCATTTGTTAGCCTCCTGGCCCAATGCCAGGAATACGCACTTGACAGAATCGTCAAGCGGGTCGACACCTAGTATAGACAGTCGCCATTTGATGCACCCCACACAGAACGGTACGAGAAAAGCTTCAAGCAACTTGACTAGTACATCTGTCATCACTGAAGCCTGGCCCTCGTGGCAGGCTCTCTATCCTGTTTCACGATGTCTTCTCTTACGATATCATCAGCGACAGTCATCGTTACTCCGCCAGAAAGAGAATCACCATCGGCACCGACATCCACGTCAACACCGTCAACACCGACAGCTATGCCAATACCAATGATATCTTCACCCGCAGACGCCGTCGTCAGGTCTCCTCAATCACAGCGGCAGCCTCCACAGCCATCATCACGACGGCCACGATGGCCCGGAAGGAGCATCGGTCAAAGTCTTTTACGACCGAAAGTGTGGTCCAAGAGTCTCAAGCGCATGCATGTTCAGCAGTTCTTCCTTTTCGGCGTCGCTCTTCTCGAGCTGCTGTCCGTCATCATCATCGTCGTCCTCAACGCGGCGGGACAGAATTCAGACAATTTCGACGTGTCAGCACCTGACATGTACCTGCTGACTGTGAGTGGATTGCAAGAAAGGCGGCTGCCCGGTTCTCGGAGATCGCATTACCTAACCAACGTAGTGGACAAAAGACGTCTTATACGAAACAGACAACGACAACCAGACAGAGACGTTTTCCGTTTACTGGTATCTCAACCATTTGTGCATACGAAATGGTACCGGCCATCTCCATCCTATTTCCCGTAATTTGGGCACCAACTTCAACTGGCGGCAGATTGACAACCAAATCATCGATTACTTGCACAGCAGAGACCATTCACCAAATTCAAATTCTTGCGGCGCTTTGCCTGCTCATACACCCATAAACTCTACCGTTGGCGGCTTCAACAGCACATCTGGCACAAGCGGCTCTGGCACCTCGGCATCCTCCGGCAACGCCACAACAACTGACTGCAGACTCCCCACGACCGTCAAGGTCACTGATGCACCTCCACAACTCAGCGGCCAGCCAGCCTTTGGCAGTGTTTCGTTCGTCTTTTATATTCTGGACATCGCCGTCACTCTTCTGGCCTGGCCACTGCTTTTGTTCCTGAACGGTACCAAGCTCTGGCAAAAGCGTGGTCGCATAGCCATGGCCTGTACAAAAGCCTTCGCCACGACGACTAATCTGATTGCAGTCGGCCTGCTTATTAGCGGCGTGTCCTGGGTTGTCAAGCACACATCCAAGGATGGAGCCTCTGCCGATTCCTTTCTCCAACCAGACAATTCGTCGACCCTGCCCACGGCATCTGATATGTACCCCTTGGCCAACAACATCTTGATATCTCGCGCCGAGCTGAACGACACGGCGCTCGCCAACTCGACCATGCCGGTGATCAGCCCGGGGCCGGCTGCATCGAGTCTCGTCTGGGTTTCTGTGACAAGCCAAGTGTTTGCTTGTGTCTGTTTTATCACCGCATGCCTGCTTCTGTCTCAGCAACACAGAACTTGTGGTGAACGACTTGGAAGTGGGAGAGGCCGAGGAAGCCGACCCAGCATGCGGCAGCGGCCTGGGTCATTGCCCGTCTACCGCCCACGCGATGGCAATGCACGTCACCGCGGGGAGGACGGGGAAGAATACGAAGACTTGCCGCCGTACCAGAGAGAAGACCCTCTCGGCCGTCCACCAAGTATACCAGGCTATACAATCAGCAACGGATGCACAGTCACATACACAACCGCACCCACTGCAGCCGACGATATCCCTTTGCACCGTGTTGCCAGCAGTGACGCGTCGGGGTCAAGCCAGACCCTCGCACCGGGCCATGCCGATCACTCTGGTCGTCGAAGCCCGAGTCCCGATTACGAGGAGGTAGTCGGCGTCGAGCCAATATCGCTTCTCTCCAGCGATGGTGCAGCCACACAGCAGCACGAGCCTGGTGCCGTGTTGGTTGTAGACACGCGCCAGGGTATAAGCAGCGGCAGCAGTCGCCGAGCCAGTCACGAGAGCGTTGAGCGCCCTGTATCGCCAGACGTTGCATCAGCCAGCATCAATGATCTGTTACTCGATGTGGCACTGTCGTCATCGCCCACGCGGAGCGAAGGTACTGAGCCAACCGCTGGCCCGGTCTTAACAAACAACGCAGCCTCATTGGCTCCGTCAGTCGCTGTAGAGACGGATCGATGAAAGTGGACGGCGAGTAGGGTAACAAATAGGAGTCTTGTGGAAAGCAGACAGCATGTAACGATTACACGACATATTTTTTGATGCTTTGGTATAAAGAATTTTTTTTTTTTTTTTTTTTTTTTTTTTTTTTTTTTTTTTTAGTTAGCTCTTGGTAAACAAACATGCCTGGCGTTGGTGGCCGTCAAGTCAGCAATTATTTAACTGTCAAATTAAACATTTTCACTCCATTGCTTGCTGGTGTCTATAATCTATGAGCAAATAATAAATCAAAACCTAAAGATAAAAATAAGAACCGGAAATTGGAAACCGGAATAGAAATCAAAAGCAGCAAAATGGAAAATATAGTCGTACATTGGGTATCTCCTGTTTTTGGGTCGCTCGCTCGCTGTTGTCGTTATAAGTGTTAGGGAAATGGAAAAAGATCAGAAAATGATAAAACACCTCGCTTGGGCCTGCCCTCCATTAGAAAGAAATAAGGAAACGACATAAGAAAAACAGGTCAATAAGACAGCCTTAGTAGTGGCCTTGCCGTGAAGGACCTCGTGAACCTTGTCGTGACGGTCCCCGTGAACCCGGCTGTGGCGTCGACGCGTCTCCGCGCAACAGTGCTACCCAGTCGTTGTCCGAGTCCATGCGGCTGTGCCGTGACATGTTGCGGCTGTGGCCTCCCAGACTGGCTTCGTTTGACGCGTCGCTCGCCACAATGCCACCAGAGGCGTTGGACGGCTGCCGGCGATGCTGCGGCTGCTGTTGCTGCAACGTGGAAATGTCCTCTTCAACGACTTCGACTTCGACGGTCTTGATGATGCCACGAGGCCAAAAGTTGGCGCCGGTTGGATCTTCACTGAACTCATGTCCCTCTTGTCCTCCACCTCCTACTGCTGCTGCTGCCGCTTCAGCGTCTATGCTGCGCCGATCCCGGCCAGTCCGGTTCATGAGCAAGGCAGAGCGGTTCAAAACAGTGCGTAGAGATGTGTCGCTGTGTTTTGTGCCCTTTGAGTGCTTCATAGACTTCTTAGTGGACTGTGTTCTCCCACCTTGAATCACATCCCGCTCGTCTCGCATGCGGCGCGAGTCATGATAATCGCGTTCGCGGGGGCCTTCGATAATGAGCATGGGGGACTGCTTGACGGAGGAGTGGCTCGATCCCGTCCGCGATAGACCACTCTCACCCAGGTCGCTCTCGGTGTCGTCAAAGTCAAATTCGTCTTGCCGGGGTGTGGCGCTGTGCACAGAGCCGGCGCCCGACTCGAACGGATTTTGCTGACCGGTACGACCCCGTGTGCTTGCTGGTGCTGGGTACCTGTCCGAATTTGCGTTCGCGCGGCCGCCAAGATCCCCCCGTGTGGCCACCTGCTTCTTCCAGACAAGCGAGCCCATGGACAGAATGTTTGCAGCGACGATGCCGACATTCTGTTCGAGAATGGAGAGGACGCTGGCAAAGAAGGTGTCAAAGGTGTAGATGCCGCGCACGGTCTGTGACGTCTCGTACGTGCGCACTGTGGCAAAAATGGCGGCCCTAGGTATGTTAGAGGGTGCTGTGTTCCCGCGACGAAAAGGGGGGACTGGGAACTGTATGACTTACAAAAGACTCAAGCTCGACAAAAAGTAAAAGGGCCACCGCATCTTTTGATGCATCTCGAGATCCCGCACAATCATAACGGGGAAGATGGAGAGAAAGAGCCACCAAAAGACGGAAAAGGCGCCCTGGAAGTAGCCAATGTTCTGCTGGACACTCGGGTTCCAACACACGCCGACGACGGACGGGTCCCACAGCTTGTCGAGTGGGCGGCACTGCAGGTTGGTGGTGAGGGAAAAGGTAAAATTTAGGACAGCCATGAGCAAAATCTGGCTGCTCAGCAGAATGCGCCACTGCTTGGCGGCGCCGACGAGTCGCAAGAAGAAGAGACAAATCGATATTTTGGCGAATGTCGTGCCCATCATGAACCAGGGCTGGCCAAGCCAGTCGAACTGGAGGGCACGGGCAGAGTTGGCCATGGAGCTGCCGTCGATGATGGCGAAGATGGTGCCGACAAAGCTGACGACGGCGGCAACAATGATGGCATAGTCATCGAGGCCCATGTGGTGGCTGACGGAGCGTTTGCGTATTAAAAGGCGGATAAGGCATGTTGTGAGGGCGAAGAGCTCGGTGGTGATGGAAATGGCGAGGAGGACCGGCCCTCTTGTTAAGTCGGGAGTTGCCATGGTCGCGGGCCGTACAATGATGTCGAGGAAGATGAAGAAAAGGAGGGAGGGGAAGTGAAGGGGGTAGATATGTAGGAACTACCATACGTGAAAGAGTACCCAATAGTACGGATGACTACACTAGAAGAAAAAGACCAGAGGGGGTTTGACGCCGAGAGGTTGGACAAGATCGAACGAGGAGGAAAGACGACAAAAATACAAAAGGACCAAAAACATAAAAGTAAAAAATAAAGGAATCAATGATGACAAGACACGGCGTCTGGGAGGACGAAAGGAAATATGAAAGGAGACCTGGGAACGGAAGAGACAAGAGCGAGAAGAAATGAAGGCGGAGGAAGAAGAGAAAAACTATGTCCAAACTCGGTTCACACAGAATCTTCCTATTTCTGGTCCGGGTGGAGGGTGATCAGAGGCAGGAAAAAAGGAAAAATGCAAAACGAAGAGACCCGACGTTTTGGGAGAGGGACATGTATGGTTGGGCGAGGAAAGAAACGAGCGGACTTCCCAGTTCGTCTTGTCTGTTCTTACAGTCCATAATTATTTTTGTGCGCCAACGGTGAGCTGAGACAGAGTGCGTGTTCACGAAAGACCTGCATAAAACGAGAGCATGCATGTGTAAGACGTTTGGACGTCTGCAGTTGACAGGTCAAATATGGACAACGAAGGCGGGCTAGCCTCGTTCATGCCAAACAAATGAAGCGGCACGTTGTCGTTGACCATTAGGGGATGCCAGAAAACAGACTTTGGGAAGACTGGCCACGGCCCTGGGTTGCATGCCAAGGCCGGTTTTAAAAGGGTGAGCGAGTGCATGTCTGCGAATGTCTGCGAATGTCTGTGCGTGTCCTGGTCGTGTCCTCGTCGTGTGACTGCGTGTGTGAATGCGTGTAGTGTCTGTGTTTGTGGTGCGGCCATTGTGCAGGGCCTGTCATTTTTGTTTCTCTGTCTTTGTTCGCGGTTCTGGGGCTGGTACGGAAGAATGGCGATCATGGTAGAATAAGGGGGATGCGCAGTGGAGGCGGTGGGAGAAGAGACAGGCGAGAGAGGGGGACGAGAGACGAAAGACGAGAGACGAGAAACAAGAGACAGGGACGATCATGGGCCAAATGGGAGACAACAGGCAAAACCCAACAGAGTGACAGCTCGATACGTTGTATGATGTGATGTCATGCGCCTGGCCGTGTAAATGCACCCGTCGTGTGTCAATGCGGGCCGCAGTGGGAAGACGGTAGGACGGGGGCCACAATAAAAAAGGCTTGCCTGTCTCTAATGGGGACAGCGGGACCAGCGTGGGCGTTGCGAAATAAAGGACGTAGGTATGTAGAGACTGGCAAGCCATAATGGTCTCCTGCCCTTTGACGACCGCAGACGGCGGTTCAGCATCCGTCTCTGGGACGTCTTCCGTGGGGGTGTGAAACAAGAGGGCAGGGATTCGGGGTGTTGCTGGGCGGAGGACGTCTTGAACTTGGCGGAGGAAAAGGATAAGAGACAAATGTGTGGAGTGGCCGTAGCCAGCGCTGTCAATGAGGCTCGTTGTTCGACGCAATCATCACACGTCCAGCGCGCACTGAGACGCGACGGCGAGGCTGAGTTGTCAGAACCAGTAAAACGACAGTGGCAAGGACGATGCCTAAGAGAGAGAGAACCAACCGCCGTGTTTTGTGTCTGCTTTTGTTGTTTTGCTTCATTCAACTCTTTTTGCAGCGACGTGTCGATTCTGTGCATGAATGAGAGGATTGTGCACAGACGCACGCGTCTGGTGACTGGACGACAAAACGATAGAAATAGAAACGCATCGCGATGGATGCTGGCCATTGATGGATGGCAAGAAAGTAAAAGACTGTCGAGTGGTATGATCGTCGTGCTCTCGAAGCTTCGTGGAACAATCTGCGACGTGTGAGAAATTGGGGGAAAAGGGGTTGGGTGCCAAAAACAACAAGAATGGAAGGAAAGAAGCCCGTGCATTGGGTGGGCGCCCCTTCCCAGTTTGAAACGCACGTCGAATGTACGATTGCACTTTCCTTAAATCAAAGTGGAAGTTGCCTTTGCAATTCGTAGTCACGATCGCACCTGCCTTTACGAAGCATGTCACATGCACACATTATGTCATGCATGGTATTGAACATTGACGATTAGAGCCTATACTGGCTATGATTGTTTTGCTTTTTGTCATTCTGATGCTGATTCAATAGGAGTGCGATGGCTAGCACAACGGAAAAAAAAACACAATTGGTAATATGCATGTCGTACAATGATCGTGCCAAACGACCCCGTTCTGCTCACAAAGCCTCCTCCACCTGCAGGTTTAGAAGCGCGCCTCGACCTTGGCCTCGGTGTCGCCCAGGGCCCAGTCGCTGGCCTTGGACTTGCTGCGCACCGAGCGGGCCTGCTCGGCCGTGAAGCCCTTGGCCTGCGTGGCCGGGTTGTAGCCCAGGCGGTTGAGGCGGCCGACGGTGGCGTCGTCGAGCACGGGGGCCTCCTGGCCGTCGGCGCGCTTGTAGACGGCGACGACGGCAGCGCCGCCGAGGCCCAGGTTGTGCTGCAGGGCGGCACGGGTGTGGGGGACGGCGCGGTTGTTGGCCCAGCCGCGCAGGTGCCAGACGAGCTCGGCGCACTGCGCCAGGCCCGTGGCGCCCAGCGGGTGGCCCTTGCTGATGAGGCCGCCCGAGGGGTTGACGACGTAGCGGCCGCCGTAGGTGATGCCGCCGCGGCGGACGAGGTCGACGGCGCCGCCGCGGGGGGCGCCGACGCGGCCCTCGGGCAGGCCAATGGCGTCGAGGGTGACCATCTCGTTGGTGCTGAAGCAGTCGTGCAGCTCCACGACCTGGACGTCGTGGGGGGTCAGGCCGGCCTCGGTCGTGGCCTCGTGGGCGGCGCGCTGGCTCATGGCGTAGCCCATGAGGTCGACGGCGCTGCGGGAGAAGAGGGACGGGTCGTCGGTGCACAGGGACTGGCCGGCGATGAGGACGGCCTGGTCCTTGAGGTGGGGGCGGGCGTCGAGGAAGGCCTGCGACACGAGAACGACGGCGGCGCCGCCGTCGGACGTGGGGCAGCACTGCAGCTTGGTGAGGGGGTCGTGGATGGTGGGCGAGGCCAGGATCTGGTCGCGGGTGTAGACGTCCTGGAACTGGGAGTAGGGGTTCTTGACGGAGTGGGCGTGGTTGACGCGGGCGATCTCGGCAAAGTCCTCGGCCGTGGCGCCGTGCTTCTCCATGTACTCGCGGCCGGCGTTGCCAAACATCTGCGCGGCGCCGGGGGCGTTGGTTATGCCGCGGGTCGCGCGCATCATCTCGGCCGTGGTGCCGGTGGGGTTGGCGCGGTCGTTGAAGAAGCTCTGCAGCGAGCCAGGCATCATCTTCTCGAAGCCGACGACCATGACGCAGTCGGCGCCGCCGTTGCCGATGAGGGAGCGGCCCATGTAGAGACCGGTCGAGCCGGTCGAGCAGTTGTTGTTGACGTTGTAGATGGGGATCTGGGTCATGCCGAACTGGTAGAACACGCGCTGGCCGCAGGTGGAGTCGCCGTAGCAGTAGCAGGCCACGCCCTGGTCGACGTCGTCGTAGTTGATCTGGGCATCGAGCAGGGCCTTGACACCGGCCTCGAAACCGAGCTCCGTGTAGTCGACCTTGCCGCGGGGCTTGATGAACTTGGTCATGCCCACGCCGAGGACGTAGACGGGTGCCTTTGCCTTGACCATCTTGGCGGTCTTGTGGGTGACGTGGTGCGGAGGTGCGGTGGGTGTGGAAGAGGAACGAGGTTGGAGAAGGAAAAGAAAACGGAGGACGATGGATGCAGGTGAAAGAGGGTTAAATGGTGGGGAATATAAACGGTGCGCGGACGAGAGAGAACGGACAAGAAGGAAATAATAAACAAAAAGATGGACGGATTGAAAGCCAGGAACGTCGTCAAGACGATTTCACCTGCAAACTAAGGCAAAGGCGAGCCAACTGGTTTCCTGCCGAGGATCTAAATGGGCACTAACGTGGAACGGGGGGTGGGTACATGTAGACTGGGGCAAAAATGTACGGGGACGTCAACACCTGGGAGAGTTGCTGGGACAAAAGAGAACGGACGAAGAAGACAGGAAAAGAAACAAAAATAAATAAAAATCGACGAGATGCCGGTGCAAGAATACAATGTATCCGTTTCTGATCGTTCTTGGCCACACGCCGAAACAGTGCGGACGACAAGAGCAAACGCGATGCAGACAGCAGTGACGACCGTCCCGTGTAAGTCCTATTGCTGCAGCCCGCCGTATCGTGTCTTGATCTGAACAGTGGCCCACCCGCACACAGTGGCGTGCGGGGAACGAACCGTTATGAACAAACGAGGTGTGATGGCAGACAGCCGAGGCAAAGCCCGTTTGGGGGCCGCGCCAAAACGCTCAGAGTACTAGTATGTTGCAACCTGCGAGCCAAACGTCAGTTTCTTTCATATGAATACCAGGGGGGTAAGTCAGGCGGCGTTAGCGGCAGACTTATTCGTACACACACACTGACACACTCGACAAGAGTGGAGAGTCGTCAAATCCGGGGACTGGCTGCAGCCGGTGGATCCGTCCGCAACCTTGAATTGCCGGGGCAATAAGTCACGTGGCTTTTACCGACAACCGGCGCCGACGGCAGGCCCACGACTCCGGACCGCACTAAATGTGTTCCTCAATGGCTGTACGAATGTCCTGTCGCTTCCACCTCGGGCGGAAGAGGCAGTGTTCGCCCCGCTGGTTCTGACTTTTGACCCGCAAGCAGCCTTTAAGGCCGCCTCGTGATCGCGCGATGTGAAATCAATTTGGACCATGGCGGTAACGGAGGCGTCGTGTTTTTTTTTGGATATTCTCATCATCTGCCAACACCGCAGGAACCTAGACGTCTAGTGATTGGTTAGTGCCGCCGGGAAAACGCAGCCGCATCACGAGATACGACGAAGTGACCCAAACAGACACAAAATCCAAAAAAAAAAGCAAGAGATGCACAATAATGCATCGGGTTTGAATTGTGTTTTCTCTTGTCCCCAAAGAGCTTGTTGTCTATGTGCTCCATCGAGCGGCCGGAAAAGAAGAGCCAATACAGGAACAAAAGATATGACCAATTCAACCAAATATATGACAAAATTATATGAATCGCGGGAGGTACGTCCCGTTGTATGTCCAAAATGTGTCAAAAGACACATGTCGCACATGTCCCACATGTGTACGACGTACACCCATGTTCTTACGTACTCTTGGGCGTCCAAAGATCCCAAAAGTACGTGTCCCACTGCGCAGATTCGTCCGTCTGGACAGGCTTGCCGTCGGGCAGCAGCTGGCGGCCATCATAGCCCGGCGTATGATGTGCTATCGGCGGCAGGCTCTGCCCCAGAACTGCGCTCCGGATCTGTATACAGGAATTAGTAAGCCACAAGCAAGACGCAAAGGGAGACGCGTCGAAACAGCAACACAAAAATACAAAAACAGGTCAGACGTACCGCGGCAGAGCTGTGGTTGCGCAGAATCTCGACGCAGGTGTCGAGAACGCGCCCCACCTGGGTGCGGATGTGGTCGTGGCGCTGTGCAGGGCTGGTCGCCGGCATCACGGAGCCCAGCACGGTTGCGAGCGCAATCACATCCCGCAGGTCGAAACTGAGGTCGTTGACAAGGCGCGCCAAGTTCTCGACCGTACGCTCGACCGTCCGAATCATGTACGCGGACGACCAGATCAGCGACGTCTTGCGCGGTGCGCCGCTGCTGAGGAACGTTCCGGTGCGCCCGCCAGCCGCAGAAGCAGAAGCAGAAGCAGAAGCAGAAGCAGAACCTTGGCCCAAGGGTGGCGAGCTGCCGTCGACTGGCTTGACCGTGCCCGTAGAGGCACCGCTGCTACTCGGAGCGCCGGCGGGTGCAGGCGACAACTCGGCTTCGACCGCCTGCGCAATGTAGTAGCACACACTAAAGGCGGCCTGCACAATGTCGTTGCGCAGAATCACATAATACATATGGCTGACGTCGCCGAAGCCAGGAATCGCCGGGTCCAGCTCCTCCATGTATGTCAGCATGGCCATGGACGACTTGAGGTAGACATCGGAAATCACCGCCGGCGGCGGGCACTCGGCCGACGCACTGAGTGCAAACGGCCGGTACAATGCCAGCAACGGCCGGCGCACATGCATGTCGAGCATCGCGCGCATCCGCCACTCCTTGTGCTTCTGGTGGCTGTTGAGCGCGGCATTGCGCGGGAACAGGCAGTTGATGTCGTCGAGCACCTTTTCCAGGTCACCACCCACGTCCAGCACGTCCCAGTAGTCGGTCAGCGAGTCGATGTTGCACAGCAGGTCGCTGGCCCGCATGCGCAGCGGCAGTGTGCCGGCCGCAAACAGCTGCATTTGGCCCTCTGTGTACTGGTCCATGGGCTTGCCCCGCGGCAGCGACGGCATGTCGGGGTAGAGGTCGGCGTCGTCGAGGTTGCGCGGCGGGCGGCAGGTGATTTCGCCAGGTCGCAGAGCGCTGGGTAGGCTGGACGCCAGCGAAACGTGCAGGTCCATGTCGAGAATCGTAAACCACAGCTTGCGCCGCAGCTCGGCTTGAAATGGGGTTATTTCGGGGGCAAACTCGGCCGGGTCGCGGTGCAGACCCATGGCCATGGCAAGGCGTGAGATCATGCCCAGCTCGGTCCAGATCCGCTGCGGCCGCGGCGAAATCATGCGGCTCGCATGCAGCAACAGCACTTCCGTCTGCAGCGTCGTCACATCCACGGACGGCTTGCCCCGAAGCCCGTCCAGCCACGAGCGCACCAGGGCGCAGGCGGTCGGGATATGCACGCCATCGGACCGATCGTACGCCAAGCCCTTCGAGTCCGTCTCGAAGCGGCTGCCGATGCACAGAATGCAGAGCAGTCGCGGTAAGAAATCTTCGGCCACGCCCTGACCGTCCCCTGCGCCGCCCGTGACGCCGTGCGCACAGTACGCCTCAAACTCTTGACGGAACGTCGGAACGTGGATGACGCGATAGAGGCCCTCGGACACATTGACATAGGCATTGATCAGGCGATCGCATACGTCGCGGCGCGGCAGTATGTCTGCCATGCGCTTTTGCACTGGCATCATAGAGTCGACGTACACAGTGATCGGCTTCAGCGTCTGCTGGTGGTTCTCCTGTAGTGCGATGTGGATCCGCTCTAGGCGCCAGAACAAGCCCCCAGTCGTGTCTCGCTTGGCTTGGTTCAACATAAAGTCCTTCGCGTCGTCAAACTATAAACCAGCTCCCAAAAGGCGTGTTAGTCCATACTCATGTCAACAAATTCACAATCCCTACATTCGCCGATGGCCACGCCTTTATGTCGGATATGGTATTTTGTGTATAGATCCGCCCGTATTTCTGTTTCTCAAATGCGTTTCATGCACATGTTTCTTCCCGCATCTTCAAACGTTGTCGTCTTCATTCGGGTTTGGGTTGGGTACGCACCAAGTTTAACAGAACACGCGTGCTGTTTTGGCCAAAGTATCTTGTCCGCAGTCCGTTGCGGCCTTTGACACTCAACGAACGCATTGTCGTGCTGGAGGCTTCGATGACGCGCTGTTGCTGGTCGCGCGAAGGCTGTTGGCGCAGGTTCAGCTGGGAGAGGACCGACGACGACGGAAACGTGGGCATATCGGAGAGGGCGGACGGGTCCCTGGCCACGACTAGCTTTTCCAGTCTCTCCATGCGCACCATGCACTGCAGCAGTAGGGACGCGGCCAGCTTGCGGAGGTCGTCTCCTTTGGACGACATGAGCGGTTCCGGACTTTCGAGGGTGCTCGAGATCTGTGCGAGTGACGGAAAGGAGTTTTGCATCGATGCCGCCGCAATCGGTTGTGCGGACGGTTGATAGGAGCCATATGGTGGTTGCTGGGGGTGGTGCTGGAACTGATGGTAGAGCCCATGGCCTGATGGAGAAAGATTTGCGTGATGATGCGTTGGTGATGACGGGTTCAAAAGGAGGTTGAGGGACGAGTTGTTTGGCGCCGGGTGGTTGCTGCTCGTCGCCGCATTGCTTGGCACGGCATGGCCGTGTTGTGGTGTTGACCCGGAGCCTGGCCGGCTGAGGTGACGCTTCGACGGACGCTCGCCTCCGGCGCCGCTCCCCGGCACGGAGTCGTCGTCCTCTTCGGAGCCTTCCGAGCCTTCGGAATCGGCGGTGGGATTGTTCGGATCGGTGCTCTTGCTGCTGGAGCCCGCACTGCCGTTGCCGCCACTGCCATACTTACAGACTCGGTAGGAGCGCTGGCACTGCGAACAGGGACAGCGCCGGTCGCAGCGCAATTTCCGCCGGCGGCATTCGGTGCATGATTTCACGGGTCGTGGGCGTTTCACGGGTTTGGGGTGCCAGTTTGCCACATCAAACACCATATGCTTGCTGCCCAAAGGCGGAGTAGGCGACTGTTTTTGAGGAACTGGCGTCTGAGCGTCTGTTCGTTCTCTTCGGTCTGTTCGGTCTGTTCGGTCTGTTCGGTCTGTTCGGTCTGTCCGTTCTCCCTGATCTGTCCGGGAAGGGGCCTGGGAGCGGAAATGGGAATTGTTGTCCATGGCGTGCAGTCCGTTCGAAAAAGGGGATTGGACACAACCGAGTATTTAGGGAGTTGGTGAGGCAATAAAAGACACCAACAACAGGGCCGCGACAAAAATCAGACCACTTCTGGCTCCGGCCTATATATCCTTATAGATTCGTTCGATGTTCCCCGGATTCTCCACTTTTCGATTTCTGTTCAGTCCACGGTCCGGTTTTGGTTGTCGTCGTTGGAGAACCGGCGAATTCTCGTTAAAAGACGGCCAAATTTAGTTCCCGCCGTACAAAAGGGGCGGTGAAAGACACTCTGACGCGGGCAATAAATAACAGCAGAAGAGGTCGCTGTGAGATGGCCCTTGCTTTGGCAAAAGCAAAGATCGGCGCGTCAGCACGAAGCGGGTGCGGTGCAGCCCACGTCCGATGAGCGTCGTGAGCTTTGCGGGCGTTGTCACTGTGGTCGATCCGCTGCATCAGTCGAGTGACGAGTGCGTGTCTACCTGAGCTCAGCGGTGCATTTGGTCTGGCCAATGATGCAGCAGTAAATCGATAGCTGTGCGCTTCGCGTGCTGTGTTGGAACGGGGACACAATGGAGCAACCGTGGTAATCGTCGAATGTGCCAACACAGGTAGGAAACAACGGCAAGAGCGGCGAGGTCGAGACGAGAGAGAGAGAGAGAGAGAGCGAGAGAGAGAAAGATTGAAACCGTAACGACTGTGAATGCCACAAAGGCTGAGACTGAAAGTTGTCTGTCTGGCTGGCTGTGCTGCGTCTCGTATTGCTGGTGGTGAGCCTGTGCTACGTTTCCGTTGCCGTGTCCGGTGCTGCTGGAAGCTGTCAAGAAAAGAATGCGGAAAATAGAGTGTGTGGCTGTGGGCGTTCGACAATGAGGGACGCAGAGTGGTTTTTGCGTCTTCGCTCGGACAACACACCTATGGACGAACAAGGCACCACAGAAATGAATCAAGACAGAAAACAAGGGACACCTGCTCTTCAACTCGTATCGGCACAGCTCAAGTGCATTCGTGCACCCATCCACAGAGGCGATCGATCTCCCGTCGTGAGAAGCTGAGCTGGTGCTAACGATAAACGATACAAGCCGCAAAGGTACGGGGAGGGGTGATGGGCAGCCGGTGTCGTTTTGAGGCTGCGATAGAGTTGTGGTCCAGCAAGTCACGAAGCAAATCGTAACAAATAAAAATAAAAATAAAAGGCTATGCAACAGAAATTCAAGGCCTGCTGGAGACAAAAAAAGATGAAATGATATCGGGTTTCGTTTGACGCCCCGGCATTATGCGTTGTTTGTCGTCTTACAGCTGCTTTTCGTCTTTTGATTTTGCTTGCAATGTCCACTGGATCCCAAAGCCAAAATGTCGATGCCCGGATCCGTGGCCAGCAAGTCGAGACACACAAAAGACACAAATAAGGTCCGTCGAGTCGTTTGCCGGTGCCGTGTGTTCGGTCTCAGTCTGAAAACACACTTTTCAATATAAAGCCACAGTCAAAAACACCTTTTGGCCAGCGGAACGTGTCCAGTTCCCGGGTCCGAGTGCGACTTGCGGAACCTGACAGGTATAAATCAAAATATGACAAGCCCGCGCTTCTTTTGTCATCCGAGTGGCTTTAATTTGGTGAGACGCGACAAAAGGGGCGGAGTCCTTTGTGTGAACAGCAGGGGGGGGTGAGGACAAGGTTTGCCGTGTCTCGCAACCGATCCGTGATGAGATGTGGTGCTTCGCTCGAGTGCGAAATACCTGTTTTGCTGCGGAGACGAGACGCCAGAGTGCCAAGGAGGAAACACAGTAAAAAGAAACAAAAAAACAAAGAAACAAAGAAATAAAAAAGGGGAGAGGAAAAGAAGGAAGAGGAAAAAGCGAAGGTATGGCCGAAAGTAGCAATACGGAAGAGGAAGGAAAGAGCGTGGCGGCTGTCTGGGTCAGGTCGGAGCTCGATGCGGGAAGGCACCTGTCGAGGGCTGAAGAGGCACAACGCAGCTTCCTGGGGCGTGGCCTGTGGATCCTGATTGGCTTCAGAGACGGGCAGGGGTGACGAGGCGGGCTTTTCGTACGAGTCGCTGCTTCCGCTCTGGGACGTGAAAGCTGGGACGTGAAAGAGAAGGGACGAAACCAAGAAAGTGATTCGCGTGTTTGCAGAAGGTACAGTGAGATTCCTCTCACAGAGACGACCCCGCCGGCAGGCGCGATGGGGAACCAGAAAATAGTACGGCTCCAAAAGACGAAAAGACCTTTGCAGCCAAAAGCAGAAAGAGCAACTTGAAGGGTGTGGATGATCAGGGAAAGAAGGACCCAGGCAACGGGGGGATGTTTGGGTTGGTGGCTGTTTCCTTCCCAAACGGTCGTTCTTTCCCCAATACAGAGGCCACTGGAGGCTACAAAGATACGGACATATGCCTCGAAAGGAAGAATGGGATCGGTGTCTCGGAGGACGGAGGAGAGCGCAAGCCTAAAACGAAGGAATTAAAAATAAATAGGAATCGACGGACGAGGGAGATCGGAAACCGAGCCTGCCATTTGCCATTTGCCACGAGACGTCTGTGTCTCCGTATCCTTTGCTCTAGTACGAAATACAAAATAAAATACAAAATAAAATACAAAATAAAATACAAAATAAAATACAAAATACACGGAGATGTTTTGGCGCTTGCTGCCTTGCCGCGGGGGAAGGTGCAAGTGATGTGCGGGAGGGCAGGTGCGATGGGCAGGGAAGCGCAGGCGGAGGACGAGCTGGTTACTCTGTCGAGTTACTGCGAGTTTTGGTCGCGGGACCTTGCGCCGGCCGCTTCTTTTTTAGCTAAATTTGGCCCTTCTTTTATTCTTCTATTTGTCTTCTTTACTCAGAGCAAAATACATGGTCGCTGACAGGACCCCTGTTCGGACTTGCACGAACGACCAGGCTCCAGGCTAGACCCCTCGCCCCTTCCGTAAAACCAGAACCAGCGGGGACCCAGCAGACAGAGACCCTCACGGCCGCCCAGCCAATTCTGGCCATCACATCGTCTATGATCGTCGAGCTTCCAGCGTCGCTCTTTCCTCTTTTGCCCTTCTTTCCCAGAAAGCTTGTTCCCTTTTCTCATGTTTTGGGAAAGTGTATCGTGCAAGCTCTACACCGTCAACATGTATCTATGCAAGGAAGGCGCGAGGGAGGACATCCCTAGTTGAGCGCAAAGGTCCAGACCGCCACTCTTGCAAGATGTCCACGCAATCATGCGAAGCATTTTATCTTTCTGCTGAACGCCGCTTGTGTGTTTGTGTATTCCGCGTCTCTTCTTGTCCCAGAGCTCGGATGAGTCTCTGCCCACCGTCGGGAGTCGCGAGACAGCATCTTGGCCAGGCCCACAACGGAGGAAGGCGCCTTGGCTTCTCTGGTTTCTGGGATTTGCCGCCCGATTAGGGGGGGAAGGAGCAGGTGGGACACTCCGCAGCTTTTCCGGCAGGCACTTTCGGGCAGATTCCAGCGGAGGGAAGGACCGCCTGTTGGCAGTGGCAGAGGGTAAGGTACAATGTGCTCAAACGCGAAGATCGCGAGATTCAACGACGTAGAATTCAAATTGTTCAACGCAAGGGGCAGAAAAAGGAACAAGAAAAAAGAAAGAAAAAAGTAAGACAACGTCAGCAGGCGGCATTGCAATGAGATACACTGCAGGCCCCAGCAATGAACGAATTGGAAATATTTGGATTGTCTCTCCATACTGAGCGTGCAAACATGGAATTATGTTATCGGACCGGGCCTGCCAAAATACCAAAAGACGAAAGTTCACGCAAGCCAGCTCGCTAAAAAAGCGAACTGCGGTCTCGGTCCCGCTGTGCGCGGTCGGCGGCTGTTGGCGTGTTATTTTTATCGTTCCTGAGGATTCTTGTTAGTTTTTGGCCCCCAAATCGATCTTGGCCCCAACTTTGCCGAGACACAACGGACGACAGGCGATAGGCGACACGCGGAGCGGGGGCTATCAGGGGGGGGGGGGTGCTAAAGAAACTTGGAGACTGGAAAAACGGTGAGACAAGGTAGGCAAGGTGGTCAAAGCTACAACCAACAAAAACTAGAAAGCCGGCCAACACGAACAATGGAACTACTCAGTAAAAGTGAAGGTAGGGAATCAAATAGGAATGGCACAAAAGACCAACCAAAAAAGACGGGAAAAAAGAGAAGAAAAAAAAAAAGAGTAAAAAGAGCAAAAGCTACAAAATATGTTGAAACATATTTGTACCCCATCGTCGAGAGTAGTAACACTCGCCAGCCTCAGGCCAACTGTCGGGGCCAGGAGAAGGAGGACTTGACGAGCGACACGGAGATTGGCCTGCTTACGCCCTGACTTTGACGGCCGACGTCGTAACATTGCACAGCATTTTGGAGGCCAAATGAGCCCCGTTGTTTTCTCCGCATTTGCGCATGTATTGTTCCGTGTGATACATTTACTGTGTACAAGAAGGACATTGTCAAGCCGGCGATTCGAGCAAAAAAGGCCAGGACAGGCGTCTATGCATTACGGGGTGAGTCCGTCGTATGCACCAGTGAGGGAAAAGCTGACCAGACTCGCCAGAGCAACCAGAGCGTGGGTCCCTTGACGTAGGAAGGCAGCCTGGCCAGGGTCTGCGTGACCGCGACAATGTGTTGCAGCAGGAAGGCAGTAGCCGCAGTCTGCCGTGTGCTGCAGTGAGATACACCCACCTTGAACGGCACCTGCGGATATTCCTTCGATCCAAGCGCGACGAAATTTACTCCATAAGTGTCGTCTTGCCTGCCGCATGTTCCCGCATCGCAGAGGCTGTCGCCAGGAACGTGCAAGGAGAAACGTGTTCAGATGTTGGCATTTGCTGATGCCATGGCATCTGCCTTTGTTTTGGAAAGAGAAAACAAGGTACCTGGAGACAGCATCTCCGCCAGTCGGCCTGAAGCACAGAAGCACATATGTCGTACAGAGTACTACACTATAACTCGTGGCATGGTTTGGCTCCCTGTGTTAGGAGCCAGGTCTCGTTGTTTGGAGAGGCGGGTAATGGTTTTCCGCCGTTTTGCAGCATTCCCGCTCCAACAAAAGTATTCCGTACAGGAAATGAGCTCGACAGCACGAGGGCGACGGGAAAAGGTCACTGAGGCGACCCGGTAGCTTGGGGCGGCCAGTTGTCGGGAGAGTGCGATAAGCAAGGTGTCAGACACAAGCGCATTGCCCTCTCCATCGCCGGTACCCCATGTAGAGGCTCCATAACGACACGGCATCTGAGTTTTGTGCCATGTGCCACGGCTCGCACGGGTCTCCGTAAAATTGGCCTGGACGGCACCAAGGGTGCGAGGTGGGCGAAAGAAAGGGGACCCTGGCTCGCCTGGCTTCGAAATGGCGTCCAAAATGGGGTCCTGAATGGATCCCACGGGGCGAATGGCCAGTAGCTGATGGAGCTATTGAAGATGCTATTGAACGGAGGAGAGAAAAGAAGAAAAATGCAATGGAACGGCCGGGCGGGGAGGGCATGGCACAGCACAGCATGGCGAAAAGGGGAGAGCCGTGGACGAGGCGTGGATGGAACGAAACGAGATAAGTTGAAGAACAATATTGTCAGGATCTGATCCTCGGTTCTCTGCTGGTTGGCGACAAATCATTGGCAAGAGGCACCGGCCAGCACGGAAGATAAGCCGTTCCTGCCTCTGTGTATTCCGTCATTTGTCGTCTGTGGTCGAGACTGGCAAAGAATGGCCGATGGCGCTTGCCTGGCCGGGCTGACAGCTCGGCAAGCAAAGTGGCAAAAGCTCAAGGGGACAGCAGATCCCGGCGGAAGGAGCAAACCAGCAAACCTGCAGCCACGACGACGCCTTTGGCTAAGCGGCACTGGGCGGCAAGACGGGGCACGGTGACGTTTGTCGAAGAGCGTCGTGTGAGCTCCGACATGCAGACGACTCGTCCAATAATGCTAGGATGGTGGAATTGTTATTCGCGGCACCCTTGTCCGATCTCCGACGGCCGAGCTGTTCGTGTATCGTGTCCCAACTGGACTTTGAGAGAAAGCAGAGCAGCCTAGGTCGCATTGTGGACTACGAAACGACAACGTGCGAATGCATCGGGTCGAAGTTACGAGGAATAACGGCATATTGCGAATGTTGGGTATTGGGTCTCTCGGCCCCTTTGGGGGGCTCCTTCCTCCGCTTGGCTTAGCTCTTGTGTGACATGCGAACGGTGGCAAAGAGAGAAAGGGGCAAGAGACAAAACAAGGGTCGGGAAGGAAGAGAGGCCCGAACAGGGTCGTTCCCGCTTGCGTTCATCGCGGCTTCTCGATTCGTCTGTTCTGCTCTGGCGCAATGAATCGGGCCCAGTTTTCGTGGCGTCTGAGCGATTGGGGAAGGCACGAGTCCTATACGTCTAACTGGTGCAGATGTATTTCGTAGCGAGGAAAGACAAAGGTCGTGTTCGTTGAGAAGAGGCTGTGGTAATCATCTACTTGCTCGTTTTGTTGGCTGAAAACGAGAGCCGTGTGCTTGGCTTCGCTCTTTGAGAGTCGTGGCCGTGGCCAGGGGCTGCACCAAGCGATCCGACAAGCCCATCCGTGCAACAGAATCCCATAATGCTACGTGGTCCGTGTTGGATAAGTGATGGAAAGCAGCGGTGTACGTCGGGCGAAGGAGAGAACATCGCAAAGAAGGAAGACTCGAGCGAGACAGCCGAGAGACACGGACAGAGACACGGACGAACGATAAAACGAGGCGAAAAACAAGATAAACGAGACAAAGGACCAGCAAGACGTGCTGGCGACGCCTTCGGAATCCGACCACTGGACTGTCTGGGATTCCGTCGTGCGGTTCCGAGCGTTTAGGGGCGCCACGCGTCTTGGAGCTTTGGAGGACGGAGAACGGATACATTGGGCATAGACCATGGGTCATTGGCGTCTCCGTCCAGGGGTGCACGTGGCTATCGACTACGTGCCAGAGCGGACGTTTGCAGCAACGTCTTGACTTGCTTCGTAGTTTCGTCGCTGGCAGGAGATGGCCCGAAAACACATTCGGCCCCATGCGAGCCCCAGAGATGGTCTGCTCGTTTATCGAGACGTTGTGAGGTAGTGTACGACAGTATGGACTATGTCAGATGGGGTTACGTCGTACTCTGGCCAGTCGTATCTGCACGAGTTAAACAAAAGATGTCAAGGACAAGAGATGACAGGCTCGAAAATGGAAAGGCGCCTGCCAAATTACGTATGTTCTCCGTAACCTTGCACGGATTTTGTTGCCATGTGGACGGCTAGTAGAATAAACCCTCCGAAAAGACGCAAGCGCTCACCGGCCGAAACGGGCCAATAGAGACCCGCCCCCTGTGCGGACGAAAAAGGACATGGACGAGGGGGTGATGGAATGCCCAAGCACGGTTTTGGGGCGTATTTGAAATCAAAAGCAAGCACAGACAGACAGCGCTGGCCAAACTATTGGAAAGGCAAAACAATAGAACGAAAAGGCCATTGCGGGCGGAACCCAGGGCCGGCGGTCGTCCATACGCGGGATGGGCTATCGAAGTTGTATAGAATGGATCTCAGATGATGCAAAAAGTTGGATGGCAGGCTATGAACGGCGCGAGAGTTGGGACAACACAGAGCGTCGAAAACACAAGAAAAAAAAAAAAGAAAAAAAAAGGAAAAGAAAATCTAGGGCATCCTACTCCTTCCCCCTCACGTTGAGGACGGCAGTCAGCAGAGTCGTCGGCACCGGTTCGGCCGGCTGGTCGGCGGCGGCGACAGGCGCAGCGGTCGCTGCTGCGCCTGTGGCGGCCGGAGCGGCGGACGGTGCCGTCGCGGCCACGGCGCGTGCGTCCTGGCGCCGTGCAGGCGGGCCGGCCGGTGTCGGAACCGCACGCGCTGCGGCACCCGCGGCGGGCGGCTCGTAGCTGGAGACGCCGGACGCCGTGGCCTTGACGGCGCCCAGTTTCGTCTGCTCGGCCGTCAGGGCGGACGAGTAGAGCGGCGGGCCCGGGATGACGTAGTCGGTGGACCCGTTGTAGAGGTTAAACATGATGCCCGGGCCGTTTGGCGTGTACAGGGAGGTGGCGGGGATGCCGGCGGGCGTGGCGGTGCCGCTGCCGTGGACGACCAGGTTGAAGCAGAAGGGGTAGTTTTGCGCGCCGTTGGGGACGCCGGCGGAGTGCAGCGCAATGATCTCGTGGCGCAGCACGTAGTTGCCCGGCGCAATGTCGGCGGGCAGGCGGACGGACCAGGTCAGGTTGTTGGCGCGCAGGACGTCGTCGGCCCAGTAGTTTCTGGCGGGATCGAGCAGGCCGGCCTCGCCAATCTTGAAGAACTGGAGCTTGGTCTTGTCGGTGGTCTCGCAGGGCCCGTTGCAGCTGGCCAGGTAGTCGAGGACGGGGCCGTGGTGGGACTCGGGCCACTGGTTCCACACAATCTCCAGCACGTCGCCGGCGTTGACGGGCGCGGCGAGGCCGGCGGGCGTGGCCCCCAGGTGGCAGACAATGTCGGGCGTGTCGTAGGCGCTGGGCGAGATATACGAGTTGTTGAGGTCGTCGGGGATGCTCCAGCCGATGACCACGGGCGGCGGGTGCACGAACTGGTAGCCGGGGTCGTATCCAGGGTAGCTGGCAAGGTATGTTAACAAGGTGTTTTGGGGGCACTTGGAGAGCAGGAGAGCAGGAGAGCAGGAGAGCAGGCACGCACAAGGTGCCATCTGGCCAGTGAATCAAGGCGGTGGCGACGCCATGCGCATTGGCGCCGGCTGCAAGCAGCGCGGCGGTGGCAGCCGCAAGTCCGGAGATGGAGAACATGGCGATGTTGGCCAGTCAAACGACGATTGACGAATACGGATACGGATTGACTGCCCGTGCATGTGGTCTTCAAAACGTGGGACCGTGTCTTCAGGTATTTATTGTTTTGGCTGCTGGTCTCGTCTACGTATGGAGACAGAAGACATGGGTGAGCCGACATAAATATAAACACACACGGCCACGGAAGCCAGCTCTTCATTTGTAGACCCTCCTTTCTCGACCCTCGTTTCTAGACCCGGCCTCGAAAGAAGAGGACCTGTCCCGGTCATGAGACTCTATACACACTGCGACACGATGACGATGACGCAGGAAGACCAGCGTGGCCGCGCACAGTGAGTGAAAGGAGATTAAACAGAGCACACGGTGCCCATAGCCGACGACGGCGGCATGCGTGGCACAGTTTGGCCGGTCATGATGGGATCAACGTCGACGAGTGCCGCTTACACTTGCCGTCTTTTCTAGCTCGGATGTCGAGATGGGGGACAAATTATGAAAATGTGCTCAAACGGAGAAGCGTATAAGGTTGACCACAGGGTTGGGGATCATAGATGCAGACATTGCAGCACATCCGGGTCGCGTCACGCTGGCACCAAGGATCGTAAGGATACAGCATATATATCTGCCGTGTTGTGGGGAGTGGGGAGTGGGGAAGGACATCGTGTTCATCTCTTCATATATTGTGTACTGACGGCTGCAAACATGGACACGGGATATTGAATTCCACCATACAAAGTGACAGAATAGTGAGTTGCAGCGTTTCTTTCTTTTCTTTCTTTGTCTTTTCGATTCTATTCGCTCGTACTGTTAGTTTCTCCTCCCGTCGTTTAGAGTGACTACCAAAGGAGACACAGGTAAGGCTTCACGTCCCCTGTTCGCACAAAGCACTCTGCATCGATTTGCCTCCGCACCACAGAAGCAAGCCACCATCCCGGCGTGGGACGAGCGATGCCAATATAAAGCAAATAGAGTGGCTGTCCGGGGGCACAAAAATAGTGGGAGACCCTTTCCATCCTGTGGACGTGCCGTCCAGCCGCCGGTAAATAGCAGCCCTCTTGCTCGTTGTGTCCTCCCCCACATCTCGTGCTTCTGATTCTCTCTGCACCTGGTTGTCGTCCTACAATGGGTGAAGAGAATCCCGGCTCGCGAGGGAAGCCAGGCCGTGGACAAGACTGCTACAGTATGGCACCCATGCCGAGTCTACGTCCGTTCGCTTCCAGCCATCCCAGCAACCCACAGATACTGGCCTTACCCAGCCCCTACTGGAGGAGAGGCGATCCAGCGTCGGAAATGGACAGTGTATGAATGAGAGCCGTCAAAGGCCCGGATCCGCCCCGGGGGGCAAGTCATCCTGACGTTTCCTTTTTCCCATACTTGTCCCTTTCCGTCTTCACGATCCAGCCCATCGCCAAGCCGCAGTGTAAAGTACAGCTCTCGTCTTGGATCATCCGTGGCTCACATCAAGGGCCCTGCTTCAGTCACGCATCAGGCATGGTCCCATGAAAATCATAACCGCTTGTTTGTCTTGCTTTGCGAAAACGCTAGTTCATAAGTGTGCTCGTTGGTTTCCCCTTCCTCGCTGCGGTCGTTGTCCTTCCGTGAGCAATTGTTCACGCTCGCCTCGCCGGTCGCGCTCCGCTTGCCGGCGCCCGCTTGGTCCCTTAGTCCGCCTGCACCTCCACGCTGCGGCTCTCGCCGTCGGCCTCGCCCGAGTTGACCTTCTTGCCCGTCTTGGAAATCGTCTTGAGGACCGTCTCGTAGGACAGGCCGGGGTCGGCCACGACGGTGGCCGACTGGCTCTCGAGGGAGACCTCGTAGCTCTTGACGCCTGTGACGCGAAAGCAGGTTAGTACGAGACGTCGACAGGCGTCACGAGAGACGGGGGACGGGAGAGGGAGAGAGACGTACCCTCCAACCGCTTCAGGACGCGGTCGACGGCGCCGGAGCAGCCGCCGCAGGACATGCTGACGTTGAACTTGTAGGTGTGGTCGGCCATTGTGATGTGCGTGGGTGGGTGGGTATGCGGGTGGAGGGATGTCTTGGCAGTGGTGATGGGTAAATGGTAATGGTTCGTGGTGAGAGTGTGCGTTGTTCGTGTTGTGCGTTGTTCAGAAACATCTCAGACGGTGGTGGACGTCGTCCTTTTGTAGAGAGAAGTCGCTGAGAGAAGTCGTCAGAAGCATTAGAAATCGACTTGCGACAGCGCTTAGGAGGGGCGTGTGGGTGTGGCAAGAGAGGTGTGCCGCTGTTTCGGGGCTGGCCACAGGCTAACAAGGGCTGGGCACACGGCTTCCACTGCCGTTTCTGAGCAGGTTTGGGACACGTCAGAGCGCATGGGGCTGCCCCAGTGCCCCAATTTAGCGAGCGGTCCGCCTACGCACCGAGGATTAATAATGTTACGGGGCCGTTAGGGCCGTTAGGGGGTCTTTAGGGGGGACATACAGTGGGCTAGGGGTGGGCTAGGGGCTGACTCCAAACGCCGCAGGCCACTCCACTGCGAGAAACCCTTTGTCGCATCTATTGCGTGCTCGCTGTCACCATTCCCGTCGAGACATGCACTCTGTGTCTTGCAGGCGTCTTCCAACCGGCACGGCCAAGTGAATACTCTGTATATTGTAATCTTAGGCGTCTCTGCCTTTACTTTGGGTGCTTTCAGTCTCAATGCCAAAGGAAAGAACCCGAGATTCGACTCTCCGTTTGCTCCTTCCCCAACCCTCTCGAAGCATCTGCGCCATTTGTGCGTACGTGAACCGACCACGTCTGATTCATGTTCCACGCCGTGAGACGGACATCTATTTTGGGAGGTCAGCTGCAAGACAGTTGGGAAAGGGACCAATTACGGCGTATGGCATGTGTTGGCGACACTTGTCTCTGTTGCGTCCTTTGTCCGCTGCGTCATATGTGCTGCTGGTTTCTGTGTCTGCGGTCGCACCTGCCGTCGGACCTTGTCTCTTGTCCGAGAGACCTGGCTCACTCCTTCCTCTGGCGTGGAAGCAACATGAAACGACTGTCTGAACGGCCCCCAGGTCCTTCTGTTTTTGGTCTGTCGACCTCCTTCCACTTCCGTATCTCTCTTCCCTGCAAATCATCTCGCCCAAGCTGAAACATGCTCAAATGTCTGTCGCAAAAGCCTCTTCCAAACAATCAGAGACGCCAGACACGACAGATGGACGACGCTCACCAATTGCCACAGTCCCGACAAGCTTGCTTTGAAATGCACTATGAGCTCACTGCACTACTGCACTCTGTCCTCTCCCCTCTCTGCGGCCCGTCGGGTTTGATCGCTTGGCACGGCCAGAGCCGTTGAGGAGAACGCAAAAAGATGCACAACGACGTTACAGCCAGCACGCCACGCCATGCCGATCACAGGTCAGTCTCGCGTCTCTGGTCCAACGATGGATGCGACCATGCATGTTACGAACTGCTGGTAGCGAATCGTTGCGCCGGCGGCTCGCCTGCTTGCATGCCGCGGGTGCAGACAGATGCACACGGAGCAACAACTCATGCAAGACATCTGCCGTGCTCGCTTCCCTTGTTGCTGGCGCTTGTCTTGGTTCCCAAGATGTAAGATACAATGTCTATTTTCTATGTTTGAATTCGTTGGGCGTCGTTGGGCTGGTCTCGCCCCTACGCATCATCGTCAAACCATGCGCCCGGCATGCCACCACCTCCACCGCCGCCCGGACTTTGCCGCGGCGCTGACGCGGGCGTGTCCGCGGCTGTGGGTGCTGGCTCGGCATACTCTTCGTCCTCGGCCACCTCAAACTCGTCGTCGTACTCGTCGTCCTCGTCATACTCATCCTCCTCGTCCTCGGCCTCCTCCACTTCAATCAGCTGCCCCGGCATCAGGAAATCGTCCGGCAGCACCGGCATCTGCCGGTGCCCGCCATGCTGCCGATCGCTCGCCGCCATGATCCAGGGCCGCACCTGCGACCGGTTGGAGAACTCGTTGGCCTCGCGGGCGGGCGGCAGCGGGTCAAAGTCGTAGTTGGGCGCCGCGTGGAGCATGTCGCGGGGCACGAGCGCCATGAGCGCCGGCGTGCCGTCCAGGTACACAAAGCGGGCGAGGCTGAGCGTCATGGGCGGCGCCGGCGGCAACGTCGCGGCGTCGATCTTGGGCTGTGCGGACAGGCCGTCGGCCACCTCGCGGAGGAGCGCGCGCGCCTGGGGCGCGTCCCACAGCTCCTTGGCGAGGTGCACGTACAGCTGCGTGTAGAGCGTCTCCCGGTCGTCGCGGGGCGGGACACCCCAGACGGCCCGCGGCACGTCGAGACCCAGCGCCTGGAACAGCGCACCGTACAGCCAGGGCAGACGCGCCATGCCGCGGGCCAGGGCCGTCTTTGCGCCGTCCACATCCTTTGTCTGTAAAAGGGCCGGCACGAGCGACTGCCGGATGTAGTCGCGCATCGGGTTGTTGCGCAGAGCCGGGACCGTCTCGTCCTCTTCCCCCTCCTCCTCCTTCTCCCCCTCCTCGCTGCCATTCGTCGGCGTGCCCAGGTAGGACACCAGCCAACGCGCTTCAAACGCCCGCACGGCCAGCGCCTGCGCATACAGCACCAGCGCATACTCGTCGTGCGGCATCAGGCTCATAAACAGCTTCGTCCACGCCAGCGCCGTGCGGTAGGTGCCGCGCGCCATCAGGCTGCGCACGTAGTGGTAGCCCGCGAGCAGGAACTGGCGGTTCTCGGGCCGGTAGAAGCTCAGGCGCGCGCGGCCCGCGGCCAGTGTCTGCCGGAACGACGACAGCGTCGACCGGCCAAACGAAAAGAGCGCCCGCTCGCAGAGGTCGGCCGCCAGCGACGCGTTCTGGTCCTGCAGCTTGGCCACGCGGCTGATTTGGATCAGCGACGCAATGTGGAACGGGTGGTCCCGCAGGAACTGAATCAGCGGCTGCGGGTTGTGCATCATCACCAGCGTGAAGAACTCGTCTTCCAGGACCACGTACGCCGGGCTGTGCACAAACGCATACTCCACGACGCCCCGCGCCGCCGCCGTCCCTTCCGTCACCTGCCGCATCGCCAGCCCGCCCGACGTCCCCCGCGGCCACGTGTCCTTCCACTGGATAAACGGGTTGCGCTTGGCCACCAGGCCGGCCACACCGCTCGCAGACGGCAGCCGCTGCCCGTTGGCGCCCACGTACACCATCCCACGCGGCGGCGGCGGCGGCGCGCGCAGAAACGACTCGAGGTCCATCATGACCACGTTTGGGTTGTTGCCCTCGCCCGCCTCGCCCGCCTCGCCTCGCGGCCGCCGCCCGGGCACGCCCAGCGCATCGTCCGCGGCCGCCGCCTGCACAATGTCGCGCCCAAACACCTCGCGCAGCTCGTTGAGCACGCGCAGGTCCGCGAAGCTGACCCGGATGTCGTGGGCGGCGGCGTCGAGGGTGCGTGTGCTGTTGCTGTGGGGTCCGCCTGCCGGGCCTGCGGTGCCCGCCTTGGCGCCCTCTTTCAGCCGCAGCTCTTCGAGGGCACGGTCAATCTCGTCGAGGCCGTCTGGTGCCGTCGCTGCCGCTTCTGCTGCTGCTGCTGCTGCTGCTGCTGCTGCTGCTGCCGCTGCCGGCTTGCCTCCCTTGCCCTTCTTCTTTTTCTTTTTGCCCGCTTTTGGTGCTGGTCGTGCCGCGTCGCTGCCGTCCTTGACCTGTGGCTGCTGCTCGTCTGCCTCGTCGCCGTCCTTTTCCTTCTCGTCGTCGTCGTCGTCGTCGCCCTCGTCGCCTAATGCGGCAAACGCAGCAAACACATTCTTGGGCCGTGGTCGCGTGTCGACGTCGGCTTCTTCCTCATCGTCGTCGATGCCGTCGTTGTTCTCGTGGGCCTCGTCCGCATGGGCACGGCCCGACGTTTGCGCTCTCCGCTCTTCCTGCGCGCGCAGCTTCTTCAATTGTCGGCTCGACATGGCTGCAGTTGTGCTTGTGCGGTGGTGAGACGCGTGAATGAAGAGTGCAGATGGAGATACAGTGCAGCAGGTCAAAGTCAAATCTTTTAGCGGCCCTCAGTGCTAAAGTGCTAAAGATGCTGAATTACGTCGTTGGCCGCTGCGTGCACAGTCACAGGTGACCCCGCCAGAGTGCTGTCAACTTTTAAGTGGAGCTTGCTTATGTAAGAGAGGAACTTCAAACGAACGACCACGCAGACGACCACTCAATCAATGCATTGTCCTCGAAAGACTTTTCATTCCAAACCCCGTTGCTATGCAAGACAAGCCCCGATGGGGGTCAAGCCGTCATGGACAAAATACAAACTACAAAATGACAGACACAATGTGCGAGACGACCATCCCCCACGGCCGTTTGGTCGCCTTCTTCACCGGCGCCATGTCTGCCAAAACTTGTACCACGGCACACCGTCACCGTCGCCGCCGTCGCCGCGCTCCCGCTTGCTGCCGCTGCGGCGCTGCGACCAGACGCGCCAGTAGTAGACGGGCACGCCGGCCAGCACAAAGCCCACGACAATGACCGTCTGCAGCGGCTGGCCAAAGACGGCGCGGCTCAGCAGGAAGAGCGAGACGCAGCAAAAGATGATGGGCGTCGTGATCCACACCTTGTAGGGCCGCTCCAGGTGCGGCTCCTTGACGCGAAGGACGATGAGGCCGAGGACGGTCAAAAGTAAAACGTGTAGCCGGCGACGCCGTAAAACGTGAGCAGCGTGCCGAACTCGCCCACAAAGACGTAGATGCACGTCAGCGCGCAGTTGAGCGCGAGCGCGTAGATGGGCGTGAAGAAGAGGCCCGTGTCCTCGTCGGCCACGAGGCGCGCAAACAGGCGGCCGAGCCAGGAGCGGCTGTGCGGCGCGTGGATGCGTGTGCGGAGACGGCCACCGCTGCCGCCGCCGCCGCTGCCGCTGCTGCCGCCGCCCAAGGCCCCCAAAGGACCGCCGCCGGCGCCGCCGGCCTCGTCGCCCGCGCCCAGGCCGATGCGCCCAAACACGGCCGGCAGGTAGCCCTCGCGGCCGGCGACGTACACGAGCCGGCTGCTGGTAAACGTCGAGCTGTTGAGGGCGCCAAAGCACGAGGCGCTGACGACGAGCGCAAAGACGAGGGCGCCGACGGGGCCAAAGACCTTGGCGCCGAACACGACGGCGACGGTGTTGGTGGCGTTGATGGCGTCGAGCGACAGGACCAAGAAGTAGGCCACGTTGGCCAGCACGTAGCAGCCAATGACGAGCGGCATGGCCGTGTGGATGACGCGCGGCAGGTCGCGGCGCGGGTTCCGGAACTCGCCGACGACGTAGTTGGTGTTGTCCCAGCCGTCAAAGGCCCAGAGCCCCGCGTACACGGCGACGGCCCAGGCCGACGCGTCCAGCTTCGTGCCGGCAAACCACGCGCGCGTCTTCCAGTCGAGGCTCGGCTGCCCCGCGTACGCGTAGCCCGTGGCGGCCACGACGATGCCCGTGACGGTGACGCCCAGCAGCGCCACGAACTTGAGGAACATGAGCAGGTCGTTGACGCGCGTGCCCAGCTTGGTGGAGACGCCGTTCATGAGCGTCACCAGCAGCACGCCCAGCAGCGCCACGGACTTGTTGATCCAGGGGCTGACGTCGACGGCGTCGGCGCCCACGACGGCGCGCACCAGGTACTCGCCCATGATGAGCGCGATGATGGCCGCGCTGCCGGGCTTGAGCACCAGCACGGCGACCCACGTGAACAAAAACCCAAACAGCTCGCCCAGGATCTTGGCCAGGTACACCTGCGACCCGCCGTTGAGCGGGATCGCCCCGCCCAGCTCCGCGTAGCTCGCCGCCCCCGTCCACGCCAGCACGCCCGCCACCACCCACACCAGCAGCGCCGCGCCGGGCGACCCGACGTTGGCGTTGACCAGGCTCGGCGACGAGAAGATGCCGGAGCCGATAATCAAGCCGACGATCAGCGACAGCCCGTTGAGAAACGTCAGCGTCTTGTGCCGCTCGAGCGAGCCCGCGCCCAGCAGACCGCCGCCGCTGCCGGCCGCCGTCGACGTGGGCGCGCCAATGGGCGCGTACCCGTCGCCGCCGGCGGTCGACGAGAGTGGAAACAGGTTGGCGGCCAGGTCGAAGCCCGACGAGACGGAGAATGTGCGGCCATGGCCGCCCGGTCGTGCCCCGCTGCCGCTGCCGCTGCCGCTGCCGCCGCCGCTGCCGCCGTATCGTAATGGCCGGTTGCCGTCGTCGTTTTCCTCGTCGTAGTCGTCGCTGTCGCGGCGGCCCAGGGCGGCCGGGTTGTGAAAGTCGAGCGGGTCTTCGCGCTCGAGTGACGCCTTGCGCGACGACGAGATGCTGGGCCGCGACGACGCCACGCCGCCGTCGGCACCGCTTGCATTCGAGCCCGCATCGACCTGGCTGGAGCTGGCCAGGGACGCGAGCTCCAGCGAGTCGCGCGTGTGCGGCTGGAGGTTGGCGTATGCGACAGGCATCGGAGGAGTGGGAGGGGGGAAGGCGAAAGAAAATGCAGTGGTCGGATTAATATGACGACGTTCGCGTTGTTGATCGTCGTTGTCAGGGGATGGGATCACTGTGTGCCTCGGCGCATGGCGGCCACGGGTCGTCGAGTGGGCGGCGCAGTACAATTAGGAAGCTGCAGCGGTCGTCCGCGATCGTCGCGGGCGACAGAACTGTCCAAAGCAGGAGTCAACAGACACAAGATGCTTGAAAGTCGCCGTCGTGTGCCAAGATGCAAGCGCTGGATTAATGCCGTAATAGGGAATGCGCCGTGTGAAGAAGGACAAAACGGAAATGCTATGCCCCAGTATGAACGTCCGGTGCGCGTCGTCGTTGTAGACAAGTCGTGGCAGTCGTCAGAGTGGAAGAGAAGACGCTGGTGATGAAATCATCAAAATGCATCAAAATGCATCAAATATGCTTCCAGGCGATGTTTGGGAATTGTCCAGTGGCTAAGTGGCTAGTAAGCCGTCAAGACAAGATCTTGCTCGAAAAGGCAGGGGCCAGATCGGCGGCACAAAGCAGGGGCTGCCTTCCGAAAACGTCGCCCCTGGCGAGCCTGTTGGAGGTGCCTTTTGGAAGGAGCATTCGGCGCGCACAGGGCAGAACAGGCAGCTGCGCCAACCAATGACAGTGCGGAAGGAGCAAGTGGCACCGAATAAAAGCCAAAAATACGACAGCCAGCACTGGCCCCTTCTGGTTTTGGCAGGAGCTTGTGCGTCCAGAGTGGCTCCAGTGGATGCTGGTGAAATAGGGTCATTTTACCATCTCCAGTGTCTTTCAGGGGCAAGCATCAACACATCCCAATTACCCCGTATTACGGAGCCTCTACAACTTATACTGAATACGAATTACATCTGGCATTGTTTCCGCATCCCTTTGCACACCTGCGGACGCTTGGCTTGGCTGGCTTTGCCGTAGATCTACATACGGCGTGCTTGAGATGCATTCAATACTTGTTTCGCCTCCCTTCCCCTTACTCAAACAATGGCGCGAGGACGCTGTTCTGGAACCAGACACGGTCTTCCGTCCAGGCCTTGACCACAAAATCTGTGCCCAGCTGGATGGCCTGCCGGACCTGCTCGGGCGTGCCGGGCAGTGGTCCCGTGGGGGCGCGCCGGATGAAGCAGCCGATGAGCTGGACGCCGGCGTGGATGGCAATGCGGAACGCACGTCGGCGTTTTGTCTTTTCTTCGGCCTCGCCAAAGTAGCCCGACACGAACCCGGCGAGGACGTCCCGTGACGCTTTCGCGCCTCGGAAGTGGTCGCGCTCGACCAGGTCACCGAGCAGCTGGCCAATGTCGTACGCGCGGCGGCCGTACTGCGCAAACTCCCAGTCGACGACGAAGAGCGGCTGCCCAGGCGCATGCGGCTTGAGGTGGTCCTCGTCGGGGAGGAGGATGCTGGACGAGTTAGCGTAGCAGAATACAGTAAAGCAGGCCGAGGCGCGCGTTTACTCACTTTCCCGACCAAAAGTCGCCGTGGATGATGCCCCAGTCTTCTCTGTCATCGTCGTCGTCGTCGTCGCCGCCATCCTCACGCTCGGCCGGCGGCGTTTTGTCAAACTCGGCGGCTGCCGCGGCTTGCACCGCTTCGAGAATAGGAAGACGACCCCCAAGGGCTTCTGGGAACTGCGCGACCACGCGGACCAGGGCGTCGTACGTGATCTGGCGCTTCAGTCGGCGCATGGGCTCGTTGGCTGCCATGGCCAGCCGCAGCGCCGAACGGGCTGCCCCGCGCTCCGACGTCCAAGCATGAAAGGAGCGCAGCCATGCGCCCAGCGCCACGCCGACGGAGCGGCTGAGCTGTGCATCCTGTGCGAGACGATGCCTCGTCTCTGTCCCCCGGTTGACGGCCGCCAGCAGCATGGACTTGAGGTCGACGGCCGCGGGAAAGTCCTCGAGCACCTGCGTGTTGGTGGCCCGGTCAAACCACAGCAGCCGCGGCGCCTTTGCTTCGAACGGAGCTGCCTGGCGGTCGAAAGATGTCGTCGGCCGTTCCCGTTCCCGTGGGAAATCGTTCAACGCATTCAGCATCGTCTCTTCAAAGAGCTGCCGCAGTCAGTAATTACCGGGAGGCATAGTTGCGCACCGTTCGCACCGTTCGCACCGTCCGCACCGACCACGTACAGATCGCGTCACGTCCAAGGGAAAGTCCTTGTTCGCTGCCGCATAGTCGGTCGCATGCTTGATGACGATGCTCGGCGCCCCGTCGGCTGTCGGATGCGCGAGCACGCCCCGGAAGACAAAGTTGGTTGTTCCGCTCGTGAGCGCAGTCAGTGGACCGGTGCAGGCAAACGGCGTCGGTGCCAGGCGAGCCAATAGAGCCTGCTGCAGCACGTCCTTTTCTTCGTCTGTCGGCGGGGCCATTGCGTTCCGATGTATGACGGAGCAGTTGGACGACTATTCACTCGACGGCAGCATTCTTTCGGCATTCGTCACAACGGCCATGGTATGGCCTCCAGCTGTCGACGCTGCCAAGAACAGCCTCTCGTGCGCCTATTCGCATGTGAGTCACAGGTCAGCCTCTAATTCATGCAAGGCGATCGATTATCGACCACTAGTTTGCAGTCTCATGTCGCCTTGATAACGTTGAAACGCCCCAGTCCAATGCTGCCCTTCTTGCATCATCGACGCCAGATTGTAGCCAGTGCCACCTGCCGTTGTTAGTGGCTGTTTTGGGCAGGAGCGCTAACCCCACGAGACCCCACGCGGCAGACGGCAGGTGCAGTTGCAGCGCCTGCCTTATCGCGCGATAAGAAAGGCCCACCAAACAACAGCAGAAACAACGATCTCAATTGGCTTCACTCACCACTCTGCCAACCGTCACCTTGTCTCCAAGGACCATGCCCTCACCACCATGCCGCTCTCCAATGGACGATTCCTAGGCAGCGTGCCGGTGCAAGCAGCATTGCGTCGACGGCTGGCGTCTCGGGCGCACCGCGGCTGCTGGACCACCTCTGCCGGCCTCGTCACAAATCTCGCCACAAATTCCACCACATCATCACCTCTCGTCACCCACAGCGCGAGTCAGCAGAGACGCGGCCATGCCGACGCCTCACGGTCCCATCACGGACACCACAAAGTCGACTTGCTAGCACTCGACCGGAAATGGCAGGCAAAATGGGCGGCGGCCGCCGAGTCGGCTTCGTCTGACACATCTTTGCCATCCTCCTCCTCCTCCGCAACCTCGCCGCGCCCTTTCAAATATGTCCTCCCCATGTTTCCCTACCCCTCGGGCAACCTCCACCTGGGCCACCTGCGCGTCTACGCCATTGCCGACGTCGTCGCCCGCTTCTACCGCCTGCAGGGCCACGACGTGCTGCTGCCCATGGGCTGGGACTCGTTTGGCCTCCCCGCCGAGAACGCCGCACGCGAGCGCGGCGTGCAGCCGGCCACGTGGACGCGCGGCAACATCGAACGCATGCGTGCGCAGCTCGACCGCATGAACGGCAGCTGGGACTGGTCGCGGCAGCTGTCGACGTGCGAGCCCGACTTCTACAAGCACACGCAGCGCCTCTTTTTGCTGCTGCACAAGCGCGGGCTGGCGTACCAGGCCGAGGCCGAGGTCAACTACGACCCCGTCGACCAGACCGTGCTGGCGAACGAGCAGGTCGACGCCCAGGGCCGCTCGTGGCGGTCCGGCGCCGTCGTCGAGAAGCGGCGCCTCAAGCAGTGGTTCCTGCGCATCTCCGCCTACCGCGAGGCCCTGCTGGCCGACCTCGCCGTGCTGGCCGACAACGACGCCTGGCCCGAGCGCGTGCTCGCCATGCAGCGCCACTGGCTGGGCCGCTCGGCGGGCGCGCTCGTCAAGTTCCCGCTGCTCGCGTACGGCCAGGGCGTGCCGTCGGCCCTGGAGGTGTACACGACGCGCATCGACACGCTGCTCGGCGTGCAGTACGTCGCGCTGGCCGCGTCGCACCCGGTCGTGCAGACGCTCGCCCAGTCGGACCCGGAGCTGCAGGCCTTCTTGGACACCCTGCCCGCGCTGCCGCCCGACGCCAAGGTCGGCTACCTGCTGCCGCACCTGCGCGCCATCAACCCGCTGGCCTACCACGACAGCACCCCCGACGCCGCCAAGGAGTCGCTGCCCGTGTACGTCGCGCCCTACGTGCTGGGCGACTACGGTGAGGGCGCCGTCATGGGCGTGCCGGGCCACGACGTCCGCGACCATGCGTTTTGGCGCCAGCACCGCGGCGCCGACCCTGTGCGCTTCGTGCTGGCGGCGTCGGAGGACGAGGCCACCACGGTGCTCGACGTCGACAAGGACGACAAAACGGACGACAAAACGGACGACAAGGCGGACAGCACGGCCAACGGAGACGCACCATACGTCGGCCACGGCTACATGACGGCCCACAGCGGTCCCTTCCAGGGCCGTCCGTCCCAGGAGGCGGGCGCCCAGCTGCTGGCGATGCTCGAGGCCGCCGGGCTGGCCACGGCCACGGAGCGCTGGCGCCTGCGCGACTGGCTCGTCAGCCGCCAGCGCTACTGGGGCGCCCCCATTCCCATCATCCACTGCGACCGCTGCGGCGCCGTGCCCGTGCCCGAGACGGACCTGCCCGTGACGCTGCCCGACGTCGAGCCGCATTTCGCCGCCAAGGACGGCGGCAACCCGCTGGCATCGCCTGCCGCCGCCGACTGGGCCCATGTGCCCTGCCCGTCGTGCCACGGCCCCGCCAAGCGCGACACCGACACCATGGACACCTTTGTCGACTCGAGCTGGTACTACATGCGCTTTGTCGACCCGCACAACGTCGACGCTCCCTTTGCCGCCGACAAGGCCGTGCAGAACCTGCCTGTCGACCTGTACCTGGGCGGCATCGAGCATGCCATCCTGCACTTGCTGTATGCGCGCTTCATCTACAAAGTGTTGATGACGTCGGACTTGGTCGGCGCGCCGCCGGCCGGTGAGAGTCAGGCTGCCACGGACACGTCCTCCTCGACACCCGTCCACGAGCCCTTCACCCGCCTCA